ACCTTTTTCCCAAATTGCAAATGGCGTAAGAAACCAAAGGGAAATCACTCTAACCTTTAATTTTAAAGTCAGATAGAGTAACCTTCCCTGAAAAATTGCAAAGGTCGTTGGGGGCCAAAGACAAACCACTGTTACCTTTCATTATTAAGTCAGATATAGAAACCTTCCCTGAAAATTGCAAATTTGTCGTAAGAAACCAAAGGGAAATCACTTTTACCTTTCATAATTAATTCAGATAGAGTATCCTCCCCTGAAAATTACAAATGGCGTTGGGATCCAAAGGTAAACCACTCTTACCTTCCATTTTTAAGTGCGATTGAGTAACCTCCCCCGGAAATTACAAATGGCGTGAAAATCCAACGGGAATCACGCATATCTTTCAGTCAGAGTAACCACTTCTGACAATTATAAATCGCGTTACGACCAAAGGGAAACAACTCTTACCTTTCATTATTAAGTCAGATAGAGTAATCTCCGCTAAAAATTGCAAATTACGTAGTAAACAAAAGTGAAATCACTCTTATCTTTCACAAGTTATAGTTATAGCGACGAGACTGTTATGTGAAAATATCATGGCCTGGTGCGACATCGAAGGTTTTTCTTTGCAGAATATTGGCCGAGAACATTGTTTGAAGGGAAAACCCGAGATGCCGCCCCATGAAATGATCTTTCTACATAATAGGTTCGATGCATTTTAACTGTTTTTTCGCATGAAATGAGAATTCAATAAACATAAACTTTCAATTTATATTTTGCTTCTCTTCATAAATTAAATTCCCCACTCGGAACCTCGGTTACTTTTTATGTAATGTGTCAAAGGCGGTTCTTGTAAACCCCACACCATATGAGCCAATCAGAAGTATGTTGGGTGTTCCTGATTAGTTTGGATGACCAAAGCCACTGTAAATACGCGCCAGTATTACGCCTCAACATTTTTAATGACATGCCAAAAGATGGATTTTTGAATTTTTATCAATAAGTCGATTACTAACGCTTATTGTTATTTTCTCGGGGACTTGAAATGGATAATATTGCATGAAAAATGAAAAAATGTATGAAAAGATTAATAGAGGCAGTGCCTCCAAGAGCGAAATAACATTTAGGAAAAAAAGATGCATGTCCGCTCAATGCGGTTAAGATTTGTTAAAAATTCTTTAAAACCATTCAAAGAGTTACAGAGCAGGCATAAAATAAGTCATCATCCCAACTACCATCACCATCACCACCATCATCATCCAAACTACCACCACCATCACGATCACCATCACCACCACCATCATTATCACCACCACCATCAGCATCACCACTACCACCACCATCATCATCATCCCCACTACCACCACCACCATCATCATCACCACCACCATCATCAACACTACCACCACAATCACCACCATCATCATCATCACCACTACTACCACCATCGCCAACACCATCATTCCCACTACCACCACCACCACCATCATCACCTCCACCATCATCATCACCACTACTACCACCATCGCCAACACCATCATTCCCACTACCACCACCACCATCATCATCACCACCATCATCATCATCAACACTACTACCACCATCGCCAACACCATCATTCCCACTACCACCACCACCATCATCATCACCACCATCATCATCATCACCACTACTACCACCATCGCCAACACCATCATCCCCACTACCACCACCACCATCATCATCACCACCACCATCATCATCACCACTACCACCAGAATCGCCACCATCATCATCATCACCACTACAACCACCATAATCATCCCCACTACCACCACCATCAACACCATCATCATCCCCACTACCACCACCACCACCATCATCATCACCACCACCATCATCATCCCCACCACCACCACCACCACCACCATCATCATCCCCACCACCACCACCATCACCACCACCATCATCATCACCACTACCACCACCATCACCACCATCATCATCCCCACTACCACCACCATCATCATCCCCACTACCACCACAACATCACCACCACCATCATCCCCACTACCACCACCACCATCATCATCCCCACTACCACCACCATCATTATCATCCCCACAACCACCATCACCACCATCATCATCCCAACTACCACCGTCACCATCACCACCATCATCTTCCACACTGCTATCATCTCAACTAACACCACCACCCTCATCATCATCTCCACTATCACCACCACCACCATCATTATCCCCACTACAACCACATTATCCCCACGATCATTATTTATAACATTACAACAACAATAACAACAACCACCATCAATACCTCGAAATCCTTCCACCACCACCACCATCATCATTATCGGTTTTTTTTGTCTTTTTTTTTCGGAATATTAATCATTTTACTTTAGCTATATGCTAAATAGTTTAAGTTAATCCTCTAAATGTAGCAAAAAAAGACACAGTTGCACCAATTATAAATAAATTTTGCTTAATGCTTTGCGTTACTCTATATACGGGGTTCGCTGAAACACACTGCATTGAGCATTGACAAAATTGACCGAGTCTTCATGCTACAGCGCTGTAATGCGGTTTCACAATGCGCCGTAAACTATGGTGGCTGATTTGGTACATTGCGTGTTGCGTTGTCAATAGCGACAACGCAACCTTTATCGTTATTGCTTTTTAGCTCGACTTTTCTATGAAAAGGGGAGCTATCCTACTCGCCCCGGCGTCGGCGTCGGCGTTAGCGTTGGCGTCACACCTTGGTTAAGTTTTTCGTACCACCCCACTTTATTTCAGAAGTATTACAAGTATGGCTTTGAAACTTACCATACTTGTTCACCATCATAACCTCCATCTACAGACAAGAGTACATAACTCTGTCAAGGTTTTTGACAGAATTATGGCCCTTTTTTGACTTAGAAAGTGTATTGAGCTTGGTTAAGTTTTTTGTACCACCTCACTTTATTTCAAAACCATTGGAGGTATTGCTTTGAAACTGACCATACTTGTTTACCATCACGACCTTCATCAACAGACAAGAGGACATAACTCTGTCAAGGTTTTTGACAGAATTATGCCCCTTTTTGACTTAGAAAATACATTGAATATGGGTAAAATCCACTTATTGCCTTAACCCTTTGAGATATTGCTTTGAAACTTTTAATGCTATTTCACATCATTACCCCCATCTGTACGCAAGAGAAGGTAACTCTGTCAAGGATTTGTTTTAAAAATTAAGGCCTTTTATCGACTTAGAATCTTGGTTAAGTTTTTAGTACCAGTCCACTTTTTGACTGAACTGTTTGAGATATTAATTTGAAAGTTGGAATACTTGTTTACAATCATGATTCCCAAACATGTCCAGGAGAAGGTAATTCTGTCAAAGATTTTATTTGAATTATGGCCCTTAACTGTCAATGTTTTGTATTATAGGCAAACACTAAAAAACTTAAAAAATCTAAAAAAATTCATTCCTATCCACTTGTTCACTTTACCATAAATTATGTCATATAAACATTGCTGTAATATTCAAGGGTATCAAACAACTAGTTATTTTTCTCTTTTTGTACTTGAAATTAAAATCAGTAGTATAATACTATTAAATTTATTTAAGGCTCAACTCAGTTTTTTTTTCTTTCTTACCAGCCCTCTTTTGACTTAAACATTTCAAACTTTCTTGCAGTGTTCAAGGGTATCACACAATTCAGTAAAATAATTCTTCACTAAATATCTTAATGCTCATGGCCATTGTTCACTTTAAAAATACAGAGATTCTTGTATTGCCTTTTACTGCAAAAACTTTTTTTATTGGCAAGCAATAAAAAAGTCGAGCGCGCTGTCTTACGGACAGCTCTTGTTCGTCTTGTCGCTATCTACAACACGACAAAGCGCCTTGAACGGGGCGTTGTCGCGCTGTCGTCTTGGCGTCCTGTCTAGCGAAGCACGCTAAACTGCGCGATGTCGTGCGGCGCATTGTCGCTATGTCGCTGTCACTTGTCTTATAAGCCAGTCCATTGATTTGAACCGAGCGACAATGTGACATTGCGACAACATGCCGCACGACAACGCGCCGATTAGCGTACATCGTTAGCGACATGACGACAAGACGAAAGTCCGACAACACGCCGTTTGGCGCTTTGTCATGTTGTCGCTAGCGCCAACACGACGCGCAAAAGCGTTCCAAATCAGCCATCATAGTAAACCATATAACAATTTCTGTTTACATGAATGAATATAATATCCGACCACTATTTTTCAAGCTTCTAATATTTAAAAAAAACGGATATACGATACGAGTAAAAGTAGATCAGTAAAAAGGGAAAATACATATGAACCGCGTCATGACAAAACCAACATAATGGGTTTGCGACCAGCATGGATCTAGACCAGCCTGCGCATCCGCGCAGTCTGATCAGGATCCATGCTGTTCGCTATCAGTTTCTCTACTTGTTAAATAGTTTGCATGAGAACAGCATGGATCCTGATCAGACTGCGCGGATGCGCAGGCTGGTCTTGATCCGTGCTGGTCTAAAAGCCATTATGTTAATTGGTTTTGTCATGACGCGGCTCATATATGAAATTATCTTAATACATTTTCATGAATATTATTTTTGAAGTATTGGTAATTTAAAAAAAACGCGTGTTTCAAATGCTTCTTTCCGTAAATATATACTTTATGTAAAGAAATGTTTTTTTAAATTAACCTTTTTATTTACTATTTGAATAATTGGATATCGTCTAAGTTGAAATTATACAGTTTGTACAATGGAGCGAGGTAAGATATTTCTGATCATCTTTATTGAAAGGCCCTTTTATGAATCAGAAATGCGTTATGTTTATTTCTTAAATATTTTAATTTTGTTGCGCTTTTATAGTATCAAAAATGTTACTCATTGGTCAATTACCTGAACCACCTATACTTTTTCATCTGTTGCTTTTTGGCATTTAGTACATTTATAGTGAACTAGTATTTTGAATTGAAGTCAAAATACTACTTTGTTTACACATTTCTACAATTGTAGACAAATTATTTCTGTCAAATAGCTTGTATACATGTAATCGCTCTTTGCCTCGAACCTGCACTTTTCAGGTTAAAATTTGAATTTTCGAACTCGATACCTTTCAACATTAAGATAATACTTTTTTCTACTTTTTTATCTTATCATTTTTGTTCAGATATATACTAATTTAATATCAACAAATATAACCTTAGAATAGATGTCATTGTTGTATTTTCTAGTTCGACTTAGAACAAATTTAAAAATTAAAACAAAAATATGATTTTGTATTTATTAACAACTTTTTTGTGATATTTTTTTCCATTTTATTTAAAAAGAAAAATTAAGAAATAAAAGATATATACAGTGTTAAAATATATAGGTAAAGTTAATTTCATATTCAGTAATAGTAAACTCCCCCGTATATATGCATATCATTTAAAAAATGAAATCAGAGAGAAAATATAATTGTGTTTTTATTTAAGCATATTTGGGGCTATAATAGTATGCACAATGATACTGTACACCACTGTTGAATCGTTAAGAGTATCACATGTGAATTTATAATGTTTGTTACAGATTATCGCTCGTCTACTACCGCTTGTTTACGTAATTATAATATAACATTGAAAACAAATGACACGTGTTAATGTTACCGCTTGTTTACGTAATGGCAAAGTTACATTGAAAACAAATAAGAATGATAATATAACGTTGAAAATAAATTACACGTTTTAACGTTAGTGCTTGATTACGTTATGATATAACGAGACATGTTAACGGAAGCGCTTGTTAACGTAATGATATTATTATAACATTAGAAACAAATGACACGAGTAAGCGTTACTGCTTGTTAACGTACCAGTAATATTACATAGAAAACAAATAACAAATGTTAACGTTACTGCTTGTTTACGTTAAGGTAATATTACATAGAAAACAAATAACACATATTAACGTTACTGCTTGTTTACGTAAAGGTAATATTACATAGAAAACAAATAACACATGTTAACGTTACTGCTTGTTTACGTTAAGGTAATATTACATAGAAAACAAATGACACGTGTTAACGTTACTGCTTGTTTACGTTAAGGTAATATTACATAGAAAACAAATAACTAATGTTAACGTTACTGCTTGTTTACGATAAGGTAATATTACATAGAAAACAAAATGACACGTGTTAACGTTACTGCTTGTTTACGTTAAGGTAATATTACATAGAAAACAAATGACACGTGTTAACGTTACTGCTTGTTTATGTTAAGATAATATTACATAGAAAACAAATAACTAATGTTAACGTTACTGCTTGTTTACGTTAAGGTAATATTACATAGAAAACAAATGACACGTGTTAACGTTACTGCTTGTTTATGTTAAGATAATATTACATAGAAAACAAATAACACATGTTGACGTTACAGCTTGTTAACGTACCGGTATAATACATAGAAAACAAATAACACGTGTTAACGTTACAGCTTGTTTACGTACCGGTAATATAACATAGAAAACAAATAACTAATGTTAACGTTACTGCTTGTTTACGTTAAGGTAATATTACATAGAAAACAAATGACACGTGTTAACGTTACTGCTTGTTTATGTTAAGATAATATTACATAGAAAACAAATAACACATGTTAACGTTACTGTTTGTTTACGTTAAGGTAATAGTACATAGAAAACAAATGACACGTTTTAACGTTAGCGCTTGTTTACATAATTGAAATATAACATTTGAAACAAATGTCACGTGTAAATGTTAGCGCTTGTTTACGTAATTGTAATATTACATTGGAAACAAATGACGTTTGTTTACGTAATGGCAAAATTGCATTGAAATCAAATTACACGTGTTAACGTTAGGTTTTGTTTACGTAATGTTAATATTTCATTAAAAATAAATGACACGTGTTAACGTTTCCTCTTGTTTACGTAATGGTAATTTTACACTGAAAACAAATGATACGTGTAAACGTTACTACTTGTTTATGTAATGGTAATACTACAGTAAAAAACAAATGAGACGAGTTAACGTTATGGATTGTTTACATAATAAAAAAAGCAATGTCAATTTAGAAAAAAAAAACTGTTGCATTACAATAAAACAAGCGGAATAACTCTAGATGTATACGTATAACACTGAAAACATGTAACGCTTGTTTACACTGGGGTGGGGGTGGATGTGGCGTTACATTTCAGAAAAGCGACGCTTGATAACGACATTGTAAACAAGCACCCTCGCGAGATGAAAAACTTATGAAAATACGTTAAAATTACTGAAATCTCAAAGTCGGGGAATGCAGGTGGTATTGGTAGTTTTCCCTCCGGATCGCGACAGTAAGCCATATCAAAGTTACCAATGCACAGTTCGGCGACTGCATCGTTCCTTGGCAGGCTGTCAGGCACTTTACCAGTACCAGTTGCCTTCACTTTCACAAGAAACCGATAACCTCTGTTTGTTTGTTTGTTTCATTTAGGTTTTACGTCACACCGACACAGTATAGGTCATTTGGCGACGTTCCAGCTTTACAGGTGGAGGAAGACCTCAGGTGCCCCTCCGTGCATTTTTTTCAGGCACGAACGGGCACCTGAGTAGAACCACCAACGTTCCGTATGCTAGCTGGATAGCTTCCTCACATGAAAGAATCCAAAGTCCCTGTCGGGATTCGAACCCACAGCGGTGAGGGGCAAGTTGTTTAAAGTCAACTTTTGTACATTTCAAAGCAGAGGAACAGTGAGAATGACCATAGAAAGGATTTCATGGTCATTCACAACCAAAATGACCCGCTTCGTCTGGGTATCGAACCTTGGACGGCCGATTCACAGCCCAAGGTTATACTTATTGAGCTAACCGGATGGCTGTGTAGTTGACGTTAGATTCTTTATTACATTAATCATATTAATGTAATAACGAAGCCTCTAGTTGTCAACAACCTACAAACATTTGAGCCGCGTCACGACAAAACCAACATAGTGGGTTTGCGACCAGCATGGATCCAGACCAGCCTGCACATCCACGCAGTCTGATCAGGATCTATGCTGTTCGCGTACCAACTCTATTATAAATAGAGAAACTGAAAGCGAACAGCATGGATCCTGATCAGACTGCGCGGATGCGCAGGCTGGTCTGGATCCATGCTGGTCGCAAACCCACTATGTTGGTTTTGTCGTGACGCGGCTCATTTATTGTATATATTTTCTTTATCTAAATATAAAAAAAAAACGTACTTTTTTAATCAGATATTTGGCATTTCAGTTTCAAAATCTCTTCCATTGATTCCATTCGGAACAAGAACAAGATCTGAACATCAAAAATACACGTCAGTGCCGACAGAACCTCTAAACATTGACAAGGGGCAGCATAATGAGGTATGTACATGTAAATCAAAATGAGCCGTGTCACGACAAAACCAACATAATGGGTCTGCGACCAGCATGGATCCAGACCAGCCTGCGCATCCACGCAGTCTGATCAGGATCCATGCTGTTCGCTTACCAACTCTATTACAAGAAGAGAAACTGATAGCGAACAGCAAACCCATTATGTTGGTTTTGTCGTGATGAGGCTCAAATGTACTATACGTCACGTCAGGTTACAACGTAAGTCAACGGGAAAAATATAATTTTAACATTTTGACCACTGACGTTATGGAAAACATAAAAAAAGAAGAAAAACATGCCTAGAGATATTGAATTAAGGGTTAACATGACATTAATTTAAATTATTTTACTATTATATTTAATAAAAAAAGGAATATTCAAATTTGGTGGGACAGACTATAGAATATGTACTTTTACTTGTTTTTAATTAAAAAAACACACGAACAAATAGAAATAGATGTTACGTCAGCTGGTGACATACTGCCTCGTTTTGGGATGTTCACGGTTTAAGTCAATCTCCTACGCAGTGATCTCCCCTTATCAGTACAGACTCAAGGGAGGTAATCACTGTGAGGAGTTAGAGTTTTAGTGTCCAACTTTATTTGTCATCCAATGAAAACGTTGTATTTCTTTAACATTCTGTGAATTAATTTTCTTATTGTACAACGTGATTTGTCATCCAATGAAAATGTTGTATTTCTTAAAAATTCTGTATGTTAATTTTCACAGAATACAATACAATGCACTATATCAAATTCTGTTCATAGTCGCCTTTTATTTTTCATAGTGCTTCAAAGAACCGCGTTCGTAAAGATAGAGTGGATGTTATTGAAGCCAAATAAAGTTTGACACTAAGTTTGTTGAAAGCAATTTCACTGTGCTGTTCTACAGAAATTGGAAACATTCTCCAGTCGCTATCGCCCCCGTCGAAGTGTCTATTTTCTATAGAATAGCATGGATGAGCGCTAACATAATTAAACTTAAAATGCGTTTAATATATTCAGTTTTATGGTCGAAACGCGGTACGTCTTCAAAAGTCAAATATCTATACTAGTGAAGGTCACGCTTGTCCGACCCAAGTCTTTGAAAAATGACAAGTACAACTCGATAAAAAGTGAACTTTATATATATAGATGTATATGATTTTGAAGTTAATCTAACTTTGCATTTACATATGATGTCCACGTTAAAATACAGTTAATTTCACGCACTATACACAAAAATGATAACTCTCTAAATATCATATTGATAGGAATAGAATAACTACGTGTGTCCCTGTATAATATTAATATTATCCTCATATTTTGTCCACAGTTTGAGTCGTGACCAAAATTCAAACTTAAGTTGATCACGATGACGTTGTTTTCTTTATAATATGATATTATAAGATTAACAGGTCATTTAATTTCGAGACGTCTGACGACATCACTTTACTGCAAGTATTACTTTGACTTGTGATTACAACGGCAAAATTGGTGTGGTTTAAATGAAGTAGTTTTTTTTTTATTCTGACAACGTCATATACAAACAACTCATGAGGTTTTGGTGTATTTTGAAATCGAAATGTGCCAAAATGTTAAATATACGGACCATAAAGAGCTAGTCCTTAGCGCAAATTTACGCACTGGACCGGGTGTGTGCTCGTAACCGATGTCGATATTTTGTATTTATATATAATTGCTTGCCAAGAGGCGCTGAATCTTATTGTAGCACATATTTTTCAATCTTAATTTAACCGAAATTGACTTTATCTTTTGTTGAATAATAAGTATAATAATACAAATTTAACTAACTAAACAAAATTTCTGTTTACAATTTAAGTCACAACGTTTTTCTATTTCAAATCTGTGTTAATTTTTATATTATTATGAATTATCGTCAACGTGTTCCGATTGGTTTTTAAATTACAAAATACCTTGCAAAAATAGGTTTACGGATTATGACGGCAAAACGCGGTACTACAATACTATCCGCCATTTGTCGGTGTTTATCGATTTATTTTTTAATTAATTAATTAATTAATTTTTTGAGTTTGTGTGTGTGAGGGTGGAAGGGTGGGGTGGGAATTGCAGATTTGGCTTGATTGAGTGAGTCTGTTCATGAAAGAAAACTATTCCAATCTCGGACAATTATGCAGACTAACCCTTTAATGGACTTCCCCATGTACCATTAAGACCAAATTATCATTCTGGGACAATACACCCTTTTAATTTTAAAAGGCAAGTGAATATCTTCAGTATTTTCAAAGATAAATGTTGCATGTAAATGTAAGTTGTTATGTTTAAAAAAAAATCATAATATATATTTGTTAATGTTGACTGTATTCAGGACATTAATACAACCATTTCTGAAAAAGTACGTGTGTTGATGACTGATCACATATTAAGAAAGACAGCCAAATATGAAAGCTTACTTATTTAGACGAAGTATACCTTACTTTTAGATAATGGAAATAATTTAGGTTTTGCATTTCAACAAGGATTATGTCTCACTAAAATATTTTTTTTTGTTATACTAGTATGTGCATACTTTCATATTTATAATTCGGTGTTGTTTTACCATAACCATTTCTCTCACGTTATCTGTCAGATCATATAAATTTATATGATTAATGTTATTTATTTTAAAAGGTGACTAATAGGTCCATTGGGCCGGGTGCAAAACTCTTTGTTAAAATGTATTGTATTGTATAAATGTTCATTGCATATGTCACTAAAATAAACAATTATCTACTACTATATATATAGTGTATTCTGATTGGTCAATTACCCCGTGGCCACGACTTAGTTATCTCGTTCCCACGACTTAGTATCTCGTGGCCACTACATAGTATCTCGTGCGCACGAGATAAATAAAAACACACACCGTGTGTATGTTTCCTAATAAAACGTGAAGATTAAATCGTTGTTTTGCTTTAATAAATATGACGGGGCAATAACTTTTACTCACACTTGTTTTACCCTTAACTTGATTGATAAGGTACCGGCATACTTTTGTTACTTCAAAACTAGTATCTTTATCAAACTATCATGTAGATTATAGCCGTTACAAATGCGTTTATATGCATATAATTCATCAGTGTTTTTAACTGTATAAGCTACCGGTATCAAAATATTTTTGTAACAACCAGTAACTGTTTTATTTAAAGATGTTTTGTTAAATAATTACATACAATTAAAAAGGGAAGACTAAAATTAAATCAAGTAAGTGAGGATTTATATTAGTATTATTATCTTTTATTATTATTTATCATCATTAGTTTGTAATTGCAAACGGCAAATATTTGCGACCATTACTAAAAGTGCTATGCAATCATTAAGGCTGATTTGGAACACGGCGCGTTGTCGGACTTCCGACTTGTCGTCCTGTCGCTGACGATTCACGCTAAACGAAGGGCGATTACGTAACAACGTGCCGCACGACAACGCGTCGTTCGGATTTAGCTCAATACAGGATTGGAGCAGTACCTCTAGACGCTTGCAGAAATCATGATCACAAAATACACAAATATCGTTTTTTTCGCTGATTTTAACATTTTTCATGCATTATCATACATAAATCAGTGTGAAAAGATGAATTAGACCTATTAAAGTTCATTCCGTTGCGTAAAAAAGCAAGATTTTGGCATTTTACGATTCAAGCGCCTTGTCCGGTATTTACCGGAATACGGTATTTAGTGTGGTGCTCCAATCCTTTATTTAGTCTCACTCGCGTCGTTCAGCGTGCTTCACTAGCGAAAGGACGACAGTGCAACAACGCATCGTTTGGCGCCTTTCGCTAGCGACAAGACGAAAAGGCGATAAGGATATATGTTGTGTTGACGATATTAACAACGCAACGCTCAGTGTACGAAATCAGCCACCATAGTTTTCTCTTCAGTCAGAACTTATTTTGAAAATTCCTGATTTGAACCATGATTTTGAAACTGAATTGAAATGTTAATTATTGTGAAGTAAACAAAGAAAGTAATTTATACATTGCTAACACCAACAACTATCAACGTGAATTATCAAAACAGTTCAAAATATGCAAAATTATCTCTTATTGCGTTAGCCACACAGTAGAAATATGGTGATAAATACAGCAAAATCAGCGTTAAATCGCGCAAAGCATGTAAATTAATAATTGAATCTGGATTTTTGTTTGTTCTTTTAAAAAAAATCTTTAAACGATTTTCTTGAAATATTTTGTCTCATCTGGAGGCCTGCACCTTTAAAAGTGTTTGTCCAAATTGAAAAAGAATAAATGGAAGTAGATCTAACATATATTTAACATATCTAGTGTCGTAAAGGAAAATAGCATTGATTCTATTTAGAAGATTATTTTGAAATCAACTGTTTATCAATTTCATAATATCACTGTTAATCTTTTCTTCCAATGTAGAAAAGAAACATATCTCTAACACAGGTATATGGCGTTGGACTGTGAATCGCACGATCCGGGTTCGATTCCCGGACGGAACAGGTCACTTTCGTTGTGATTGATCAAGGTCATTCGCACTGTAGCCTGCTCTGACATGTACAGAAGTTTCAGTTCCTTGCGCAAGTAAAGGCAACTAGTAGTCACAGGTAAACTGCTTGACAGCCTGTCCAGGAAAGATGCGGTGGCTAAGTTCAGTGCGGCTTATTGACGTGTACCGTAATGAAAACTACCAACACCACCACCACTTTTGCCCCCCCCCCCCCCCTCCCCAAAAATGCACATGAATACCGCGATTTTACCATACGACTGAAAGTGGTCTCATTATGCAACCTAATTATTTCAAATATCTTTTGCGAGGAGATGAGAATGAATATTTGACAAACGCTTCCATTTTATTCAGGGTGTGTAACCTTAATGGATAATTATGTCACTTCTTCTTTTTGACATAGTTTCACATGAACCGCAAAATCGCTTGAACAATCTAACCTGAAGCGTTTCTTTGCATAAATGTTTTGTAATGTCACATAATGATAGGACATAAAAAACAATGTGTTGCATAAAATTAAAGTGAAAAAAAAAAAACAACAACTTAACATTCAGAATGATGTCCCAAATTTTACACAACCACGTTATCCAACAAGGTCAGTAGTTTCCACTTATTGAGAAAATGTCAACTTTTCTTATCATGGGAATAAGGGAAATTACGCATTACGCATTTCAATTTGCTCATCAGTTCTCTCTTAAAATTTCTTAAGCACATTATCAAAGTCTCTAATTCAGAAACATTGGTTCGGACACAACCATGGATTCGAACCCTGCACTCACCTTTGTATTCTTTCATGCTCAGGAAAGTTCATGCTTAATTTTGTTATTGATATATAGTTAAGAATATGATAATGTTTCGTTTCGATGATATTTAATTGAAATATTTCCGTGATATCTGGTTGAAATATTATTATATTTCGCCCCTCCCCCAAGTATGTAAGATCTAATTATTCAAACATTTCTATAAAAAAGATGGCATACATATGTTTAATTACATATGCATTAACTCTGTTATAATAAACTTAAAGAAATAAAAAAAAATCTTATTCTATAAACTCAGATCACACTTTTCATGCATTTTTTTCTAATCTCAAATAAATAGAATCTAAACTAGCTTTTACCGTAAACATTGTTCAGCTATTTGTAAACTAATTGCCAATCTATCATTTCAAAGTCAATATTAAGATACAATATCTTAGTTTCTTAAACAAACTGTATTTCATATATCGAGTTGTTTTATTTCTTCAAAGAAAGTGGAGCTTGAATGTAATGAATAAATTAAAATGAATGAATAAATAAATAAATTAATTAATTAATTAATTAATGAATGAATTAATTAATTAATTAATTAATTAATTAATTAATTAATTCATGAATCAATAATTGAATAATTGAATTAACAAATGAATACATAAATAATTGAATGAATGAATGAATGAATGAATGAATGAATGAATGAATGAACAAATAAATGAATAAATAATTGAATGAATGAATGAAAATGATTTATTAATAAATAAAATAAATAAAGTATACGAAAATGAAAATGAATATATAATAAATAAATAAATATATAAATAAAATAAAAAGATAAATAAAAATACATACAATAATTAATGACCGAACAGTTGAACGAACGGATAAATAAATGAGCGAACGAACAAACAAACAAACATATGAGTAAAAACTAAACAATCAATTTATCATGACCGTATTGCTCTTGCTACTGATAAATATTTAATTTATGCATAGATAAACGATGAGGATAATCATCGTAAATATTACAATCTTGACATTGGTGAAAAATGATGTTGCTGATAACGATGATAAATGATGATAAATGATGATGATACATAATAATGATGATAATTTTAATTTTACAGGAAACGATGACAGTTAGTAATGGTACAAAGAAAGCTTCCGTTGTTGCAAAGTCAATCAAGAAGTTAGAAGAAGATGACCCTCGACGTGCTAACAAAACAAGTGAGCTTCGAGCTTTATCAGATGAAAGCTATGAGCTAGGAAAAGAACTACAGGATGCAATCGGTGAAGGAAATATTCGTTACTATTTCACTATAATAGCTGTCTGGACAACGTTTCTCATATACATGGAATGAAAAGTAGAAAGATCTTGAAGATCAATATTTTCTAAGAAATTATAAAAGGTCTTTTAAATTTTTTAAAGCAGACTTAAAGAGCGTAAACTGATACCCCGCTTGATTGGCATAACTATTGTTGTCATAACATATCTGTTGAAATTAGTCTCCTTAATTAATAAAAATAAGGCAACGGCATAATTTTAAAGTATGTCCTTTATCAAAAGGTCGGACAACTCTTTGTCTCTTTCTCGTGATGCGTTTATGTGGTCGCGTGGTCGCATGGTCTGAAACCTCAACACAACGACAAAGCTTTTAAATGTGCGTCGGTACGGAACCGAAGCTCAAAAACTGTTAATGGCATATAAATGTCACCATACATTAAAATATGAATTATTTCAGGTTATCACCAAGACATCAGTCTTACGCCGGACGATATTCTTATAAAACTTGGAGGATGCGGACTTTTCCAATTCCTTTTGGCTTTCCTCATACAATTCATGAAGATTGTCGTTTGCTGGGGCATGGGAGGTAATGCCTTTTTTGCATACGTTCCAAAATGGCGGTGTTTGGATTATTATGACGTCACCAGAAACGATACAACAAACGGTGTATTAGTACATTTTAACACTTCCGCTTCAAGTTCATACTCTGGACAGGACAATAGAACCGAAGACTACTGGAATAAGAAATGTGACACAATGTCTGGGGCAAAATGTACCAATTTTGAGTTTGATGATAGCATTCACACCCTTGTTAGCGAGGTAAATTGATTATTTTTTACTAAGCATGAATTGCATCCCTTGGCCAATTTGAGGGTCATTCTCAATATATCTTATAATTGAAATCAGAAAAAATATTTTACTATTTAACTTAAGAACCCACTGTACACATTCCGTGCATATACCTTCCATCTGCAGTTTAACCATTTTAATGCTTTAAGGTTCAATTGGGCTAGAGCCGGTGCTGGGTGGCGCACTTTCAACTACTGTCCATGAACAGGCTAAAACCAATCCGAGCCGGCAACATTTTCGATTTTTTCGTTCTGGGCATTCTTTATGGATGCCGTTTTTCACTTATTAAGTATAATTTTTGTCTGTGAAAATCATGGTTGACTGAGTGGTTCTGTTTTTCTGTTATTAAGTTTGATCTTGTCTGTGACAAATCATGGGTGACGGCCAGCATTATTTCAATGCAAATGATCGGCATGATGGTTGGATCGATAGTGGTGGGCAACATATCAGATTTGTTTGGAAGAAAGAAACCGTTCGTTCTCTCGATGCTGATACTGTGTGTGTTCCACCTCGTCTGTTACTTCTCCGTCAACTGGGTCATGTTTGCCATTGGCCGTATTGGCGTAGGTAAGTTCCTGTACATTTTTATTTTCAAAGAAATCATTCGTGACTATATTGAAAGACAATACGTTGATTATGAGCGTTAAAATTGACCTTTAACTTCAAAGGATACTCAGACAAATAAATGACAAAAATATTAACATGATTATATGTACTCAAATTACGCTAAAATGATATTTTTTAAAAGTCCCAACATGAATTTCTGTATAAATTCTATATATTTCGGATTTGAAGCATAAATCTATATATATGTTGAACGAAATTTAGAATCCGACAGAATGACCGAGTAGTTTTAAAAAGAAGTCATGGACCTGAACAAACCCCGGAAGTTACAATAACAGATATTGTTGATATTGTATGATTGAAACGAGTCTAAGTCATTCATTTGTCACGTTCTTTCCAGAGTTCACTGTGACAAATATTACGAAACTTTAACGCTCTAACCCACGTGGGTCAAGTTATCATTCTTTAAAAGGAGAAAAGCTTTGCTCGCTGCGACTGCCCAGTGTATTCATTTTGAGAACATTTACAGAATGATGAATGCAAAATTCAAAACTGATTTTGCCTGTGTCACCCTTAAAGAATACAAGAACTGTACTCCAGTTGAGAGCCTTAGACAATGTTGTTTGAACTTTTGACCCTACCCTTTTGCGTTTTGAAATTTCTTGTGATTTAGGATTTTGTACAGGGAAGTCAAAATATTACTGTGTTTACATTTGGCTACCTTTTGTTCACAAATTACAATGTATTTACATGCAGCACTATTTTCTTCAGGAGATAAGCATTACACATATTCGTATCCCGCTAAAATATGATAAAACAAGGAAAGGCGGTGTGCAAACACATATAATCCAATTTAGAGAATAAAAAAAATATTTCTGAGACATTTATGTGCCTTTACATTTTGCCGGGTTATCGATGTCACATATTTATATTATCACGGCCTGATTTATTACAGGTGTGGGTTCGGCGTTCTTTTTGAGTATCTACTGTATTTTCCAAGGGGAATATACATTATCAAAATGGCGGTCGACAACGATCAGTTTTCCGTCTTGGGCTATAGAGTTGTCTTTGTTCACACTGTGTGCTTGGTTACTTCATGACTGGGAGCATATCACGCTGATCATAGCCTTGGGTTCGTTTGCCTTCCTTGGATCATGGTTGTAAGTACGAGCATTTTTAACAACAATTTATTTTCCTCAGCATTTTTTGACAACAAAAACAAATCCCTCAGAATTCTTACAGTTATACTGGCCGGAACATCGGTAATGGCACAACTTATAGCTGATCTTCTAAGGCCGTTTCAAAAAGTACTTAACTGATCGCACGAACAATTTCATCATTAGAGTTTAAGCCCGAAGTAAGGCTCTCTTTTTTTTCTTTCAAAATATGAGGCATCCGTAGCCGACTGCCTTCAAACCACGTGCTCCTCACCACTATGTGTTTGAATCTCGACATACTTTGAATTGTTTCACGTGAGGAAGCTATCCACGTCAGTGGTTCTACTCAGGTACTTATTTTTATAGCTGAAATAATGGACAGAACGGATGGGCACCTAACGTCTTTCCCCATCAGTAACATCAAAATGGAAAGCCGCCATATGACGGCACGGCGTAAAACCATACCGAAAAAAATTGCTTGTGTTTGTATAAGCCTTGGTTTGTTTTATTTTGAAAGATATTTTCTCTATCCCTATACTGGTTTCATATTTTATTTACATTACATTACACATTTAAGTATTTAGTGGTCTTAATGAATGACGTATATTTTTACATTATCTAAATTTTAAATAAGTGTTGAAATATTGTATTACATTGTTAATTGGATGTATTCGTTTCATTTTAGTTTTCTTCCTGAGAGTTTTAGATGGCTTATAGCTAAGGACAGAGTTTCGGATATACATGATATTACAAAACAGATTGCAAAATGGAATAAGCGCCCAGTACCTAATAATGATCAAATCATTAAAGCGTTTACTGTACCGGAAGAAGAACATTCTAAAAAATATTCAATACTGGTGCTTTTCCGGCAGAGGGCGCTTTTAAGATTAACCGTTCCATTAATGACCGGCTGGTAAGTGACCATGATTGAACTGCCAGTAACTCAGACTAGCATAAGTCTGCCAATAGCTCTGACTAACACAAGTATCCTCTCTACCCTGATTAACACAAGTCTGTCCATAGCTCAGACTAACACAAGTATGCCCTCTTCTCTGATTAACACAAGTATGCCGGTAACTTAGGCGAACACAAGTATGTCCGTAACTCGGAATAACATAAGTCTGCCCTCTTCTCTGACTAACACAAGTCTGCCGGTAGCTCAGACTAACACAAGTATGCTGGTAACTCAGACAAACACAAGTCTGCCTGTAGCTCAGACTTACACAAGTATGCTGGGAACTCACGCTAACACAAATATGTCTGAAATTGACGATTTCAACTTCACGCCTTCACGATTTCTATTTCATGAATTCATATTTTGAACTTTTCTATTTCAACTTCAAGAAATCATGATTTCATCTTCACGAAGTTGAAATTGTGAAGTCACGAAATTGAAATCGTGAATTCATGAAATTGAATTTTTGAAGATGAACCTAAGAATTCAAAAAGTTGAAATGTCACCAAAGGCCAGAATAATCACTAAAAAAACATCACAACATGAAAAAAAAAATACCACAACATTTTCGGCTTTAAGCAGACCTTTAAACTGCTGGTGAAATAGTGATTAAGAAAGTGTGAGATATAGTAAAATGAATGTCCTTATATATTACAGGTTTGCTCTTGGCGTCATAGGGTACGGTATAGGTTTTGGAATCAAGAAACTGTCCGGAAATTTGTTCCTGAACTTGTTCCTCTTTTCGGTCGTCTCTATTCCATCAAAAGTCATAACCATATTTCTCCAGAACAGGTAATTAAACTACGTATAGATGCAATCGTAACATATTTATTTAAAGATCCTGTATAATTATTTTAATTTTAAGGTTGTGAAATTTTATATTAGGTATATAGTTATTATGCTTCTTAAACAATTTTCAAACATCAAAGAATATGTAAAATATGTACTGCAAATATTTGTCCTCATTATAGTATGTAATAATAAATATATGATTAATTTCTTATTAAAAAAAATGACTTAGATTTTATAGATTTTTACATGAAATGTAAATTCGGTAATATCTTTTCAAATAATGCTTTTTGGATCTTTAATTATTGACGAATCTTCATTTGAGCATGATGCTTATGATATAAAACCATAAAAAATATGAGTGAAATGATCTTTAAAGGGAGACACAGGCAAAATTTTCATTTCTTAGTTTTGAATTTTTCATTAATTATTCTGTTAATGCCCTCAAATAAATATATTAGACAGTCAAAGGAACAAAACTTTTCTCCATATAAAGAATAATATGGTGGTTTCCTAGCTTGACCCGCGTGGGTCAGGTTAGAGCGCTAGCATTTCACAATAGTTGTCAAAGTAAACTCTGGAGACATTAAAGAACATGTCAAATGAATGACTTAGGCTTGTTTCAATCATACAATATCCACAAAATCTGTTATTATAACTTCAATGGTCTGTTCAAGTCACCTGACTTATTTTAAAACTATTTGGTGATTCTATTTGCGTCTAAATTTTGTTCAAAATATACATGTATATAGATATATTTACGCTTCAAACCCAAAATATATAGAATTTAAACAGAATTTTACGCTGAAACTTCCAGAAATGTCATTTAGCGTGATTTGAGTACATAAGATCATTTTAATATTTTGTCATTATTTTGCCTGAATATCCCTTTAAGCTTTTCTTTTATGAAAGTTTGATGCTAAGTTAATTTAATTTAAAGCAGCATGCCTACACAGAGATTTATGCTTATTTTCATGAAAGTTTTGAAAATGTAAGTATAATATTGCGAAGTGAACAACAAGAGTAATTTACATAAAGCAATCCTCGTAAAATGTTATAACAAATTGGAGGTCAAATTATGCAAAAATATTTCTTTCTGCGTTAGTAACGCAGTAGCAATATGGTGATTAATATAACAAAATCAGACACTAAACGCACAAAATATGTAATTATGATTACTGGAATCTCGAATCTTTTTACTTTTCTTAAAATCAAGTACATTTTTCTAAAGTTTGATTTTCCTCGACATATTTGGGCATATCTGTAGGCATTCAGCTTTAAATGTATTTATCTTAGCTCTTTCGAGTTTATCTGTTCCAGCTTAGGCCCATGCAAATATGTATAAGAAACCATGGTCTTGAAACTAAGTTGGGCTCGAATCCGCGAAAATAAGTTCGTGCAAAAACGGAATTTTTCGTCACTTTCCGTAATCCATAATGATAAAAGTAAACTTTTGGTGACCGAAGTCAATGAATAAACACGCCCGTTTAACTCACAACGAGTGAAAAATGTCCATCGGTAAAAATGTTGTGAGCAACTTCCGTTCCTCGTTGTGAGCACCCATCTTTGACGTGTGACACGATAAACAAGGTGAGTTTTTCATAATTTTTGAAGATTACAGACATTTATGTAAAAATATCGAAATGCAGTTAGCTAGCGATGTGTTTTCCGAGTATGCACATGTAAAGATATTGCCTGTTGGTGGACAATTTGATGGAAATACCGTGCGACGCAGTCACTCGGGGTAGCTGGAAAACTGGAGACAACTTCTCTTTGGACCTAATTTAACATTGAAAACGTCGATTCTGGTGACGTTTTGTGCATTCTAAACTAAAACAGATGCCCACAAGTCTTCAGCGTAAATTATTATCTGAAAGTCTTCATAGAAACGAAGATATACCCTTTTTTGCTTAAATCCTCGTTGTGAGCACCATAACCTCGTTGTGAGCAAGACAAGCACAGTGCGTGTATGGTTTTAGTATGTAATTCAGATGGTGAAAATATAATTTTCAATCTACCACAGCAATCAAAACGTTTTTGCACAGCAGCATTTCTTTGCAAGACGTTGTGCATACCCCAAAGGGAAGCATATTAGTTTTGAACTGTCCGTCTGTCAGTCCGTCAATCTGTCCGAAAACTTTAACATTGGCCATAACTTCCTTATTAGTAAACGGATTTGATTCATATTTGAACACACCATCCCTTAGCACCTTCCTACGGACCTGTATTTTTTACCTTGACCCCTGAATGGCCTTTACCTTGAAGGTCAAATTGTCCAAAAACATTTAAGATTGGCCATAATGTCCTGGCATAATGTTTAGGCACGACACATCTTTGGACAAGGCCTTTCAACTTTCCTATATTCTTTTGACCTTGACACCTTGAAGGTCAAATTGTCCAAAAACTTAAAAATTGGTCATAACTTCCTTATTAGTATACGGATACTACTCATATTTTGAAACAACACCCCTTCCCTTTAGGCAAGACCTTCAAACTGATCTGTATTTTTTTTACCTTGTACCGTGAATGACCTTCTAGAACATCCAAAAACTTTAACATTGGTCATAACTTCTTTATAAGTAAGTGGAATTAATTCATATTTGGACACAATGCCCCTTTGGACAAGACCTTCCAACTGACCTATATCTATTTCACCTTGACCTTGAATAACCTTCACATTGAAGGTCTAATTGTCCAAAAACAAATAATCTATCTGGTCCATAAATCAAAGGACAAAGCACCACTTCAGGGGCATTGTCAACTTACCGTGATAGTTCTTGTTTTACATAACTTGGTCAGTCTTCAGCTCAGTATAAACACATGTATGTGTGTATCACACAGATTGTGAAATATTCATAAACACCCCGTAAGATAAGATAAGATAAGATAAGATAAGATAATCTTTATTTAAAGTCGGTTTCATAAAAAGCATATAAACATTAGCTATATAAGCTATTTTCCGACAAAACTTATTATCCTATAATAATTCAAACAAACAATCTGTATAAAAGAAAATATATAAAAGTATTAAGAAGATCAATGTACATTTATGAAAGACTCTGTAAAACAGTTAAGATTTATCAGCACATATAAATATGGGTAAGAAAGCATTAAATGATTAAAAGCAATTATACATTACAATCAAACATCACATAAAATTACATCATACAAGAATTCTATTTATGTACACAACCCTAAAATCAGAAAAAGGATTAGAATTTTTTAAAAATTTAAATTTTTAAAATAAATTAAAGTAAATGATTCAATTTTATTTTATTTAAATATAGTTGACCTAATTTCCAGTATGATGCTTGAGCACATATCAGTAGCAGCATCTGATATGTACTCAGTCATGAAAATATGGGTGTAACTAAAACATGTACAAGTATCATAATGATAAAACTTAAAATGTTGAAGTGTTTGTGTAACAGATGCTGATCTGAGTTGGCCTAGATAAATTCATGGTCTAAGTTAATTACTTAATTAATTAGAACCAAAATAAAATAAAAGTAGAAATAAAAAGGTAAAAATAGACTTAAAGAAGCTATTGTCCACTTTATGGGATATATGAAAAGCTGATCAGCAGCTGTCACATATACAAACACTAACATGCACTGACAAATGACTATACAAATATACACACAAGAAGCACATGAAAAAGCATTACATGATAAAACAGGTCTTATACAGCATTACTCTATGGCAGACAGAAATACAGGAAAAACAAAAGAAGAACAAAAGAAGCATGCAGATTCATTTGATTCACATTTCAAAACTCAACAAAAAACATAACACTTAGGCACACATAGAACATTTGCATTTGAAGCCACTCCAGGTTTGGATAAGCCTCCGAAATTCACCGTAATCAGTTTCTGTTCTTAGTTCATTCGGAGGCTATTCCAGACCTGGGTGGCCTCATAGCGAAAGCTTTTCTTACCATAAGTCTCTGTATTTACTCTAGGAACTTCAAGTGTGTTGTTATTTCTAAAAGAGTAATAAGAGGAATTTACTTTAATTAGTTCTTGAACATATTTTGGTGATATATTTTGCAAACATTTAAAAACTTCAATAGCTAATTGTCTTAATCTACTGATATGTAAAGTTGGCATATTAGCTTTACTTAAAAGAAATTCATATGATGAGCTGTAATCCTCAAAAACTATCTTCAATGATCTATGTTGTAACTTTTCAAGTTTTTCAGTATTTTGTTTACTACAAAAATGCCAAACTAAAGGACAATAGTTAAAATTTGAACGAACAAAGGATTTGTAGATTAACAATCTAGTATTTTGATTTAAGAATTTACTCAGTCTAGCAAGAATGTTGATTTGTTTAGCAGCCTTTTTGCAAATGTTAGATACATGTAAGTCAAAATTTAGTAAAGAGTCTATTTCAACACCAAGAAGTTTCACGCTTTTTTCACAGACAATTTCTGTACTATTAAGACAAAAAGAGGTTAATTTACTAGTTGTTTGTTTTCCAATACAAATTGCCTGAAATTTGTCCGGATTGGCTTGCATTAGATTATTATCAAACCATTTTATCATAGATAAACTTTCATTTTCCAGTATAGATTGTAAAGAGTCAATATTGGTATCACAGTAGGATAATGTGTTGTCATCAGCATAATTGTACACAGTGGCTAATTTAATAAAGTAAAAGATGTCGTTAATAAAGATGTTAAAAATAAGAGGCCCCAGAATGGATCCCTGGGGAACTCCCTTACTTATTGACATCCAGTCACTGCATGCTTTACCAAGCTTAACCCTTTGTTTTCTATTTGACAGGTAGTTGTGCATAAGTTCTGCGGCTGTGTCAGATAAGCCATAGGCCTTAAGTTTCAATACGATCAAGTCATGTGGGAGACAGTCAAATGCCTTTGACAGATCCATGAGTATTGCTGCTACATACTCATGTCTATCCAAGGCATTTTTCCAGTCTTCTATTAGCCGTAAAAGAGTAGTTTGACATCCAAATTTAGATCTAAAAGCTACCAGAAAATTATGAAAAATGTTGTCAAAGTATGAAACTAGTTGTTTATTTATTGATTGTTCAAAAATCTTCGAGAAAGTGGGCAGAATACTTACAGGCCTATAATTTTTCTTTTGAAAAGGATCTTCTTTTTTATAAACTGGAGTAACCTGAGCCATTTTCAGGGACTCCGGAAAAGTATTATTAATAAAGCATTTATTTATTATACATTTTATAGGCTCCGCAAGACATTCAGCACCTGCTTTTATAATTTTTGGAGGTAGGTTATCAATACCTGTGGCCTTCTTACCATCCACACTGTGCAGAAGCTTATGCACTTCCTGAGATGTAACAGGTTTAAATACAAAATTATTATTGCTTTGGATTTTATCAGAGATAGCCTGTACACTAGGGTGTTGTTCATTAATCATTATATCACTGTTGATACCAATATTTTGAGCTATATTAACATAAAAATCATTAAGTATGTTGCATACCTTATTTTGATCTGTTATTAATGTATCATTTTCATTTAATATGTTCACTCGTGCCACACTAGAGTATACGAAATAAAATACCTGATTTACCTCCACTGATTAGTTCTTCTGTTAATCTGAGGACTTGTGAATATGAAGAATAATTTTCAAAAAAAGAAAAAGAAGAACTATTGCAAAGAAAAACTATTGTACAAAAACGTTTTGATTGCTTTTGGTAGATTGAAAATTGTATTCTTGCCATTTGAATTACATATTAAAACCAGACAAGCACTGCGCTTGTCTTGCTCACAACGAGGTTATGGTGCTCACAACGAGGATTAAAGCAAAAAAGAGTATATCTTCGTTTCTACGAAGACTTTCAGATAATAATTTACGCTGAAGACTTGTGGGCATCTGTTTTAGGTTAGAATGCACAAAACGTCACCAGAATCGACGTTTTCAATGTTAAATTAGGTCCAAAGAGAAGTTGTCTCCAGTTTTCCAGCAACCCCGAGTGACTGCGTCGCACGGTATTTCCATCAAATTGTCCACCAACAGGCAATATCTTTACATGTGCATACTCGGAAAACACATCGCTAGCTAACTGCATTCCGATATTTTTACATAAATGTCTGTAATCTTCAAAAACTATGAAAAACTCACCTTATTTATCGTGTCACACGTCAAAGATGGGTGCTCACAACGAGGAACGGAAGTTGCTCACAACATTTTTACCGATGGACATTTTTCACTCGTTGTGAGTTAAACGGGCGTGATAAATAACATTATTTTATACGGACAGTGACGCAATATTAGTTGACACCGCTAGTTGTAATTATTGTAATTATGTATGATTTATGCCCCTTTAGAAGAATGTTTATCACTTTGTTTGTCAAAGTCAGCAATTTTTCACTTAATATTGCATAGGCCTATTAAAGGCTTCTTTCCAATCAAACTTACCTTTAAATTCATGCATTTTCCCAAACATTTGAACCTATATCAGACGTTTTACCTTCCCAAGTTAACAATTTTAGCAGTAATATTCGTATTACCCAAAATCAAATGACTAAGAAAAAAAAACTCTAAAGATATTCGGAAAGTTACATACACTGTAATATGAAAAAATATGGCATTTCCTTACCTTATATTTTTAATGACGTCGTTTCCGTTTCAGGATTGGAAGAAAATACACCACCATACTGTCTTTTGCTTTGTGTTTGCTCGGCGGCACCGTAGTCGGGGTCATTCAGTACATTGGTAAGACGGACCGAATCATCGTTCACGTGCACATGTGTTGTCACTTTCAAATTTTAGTTTATCTAACTGCTTACTGATGAAAAAACACATTTAAAAAAACAAAAACAACATTGGTTTGTCATTTTCTACATTTAGCCAAAAACACACGTGCGAGAAACATTCTAATACGCAACAACAAAACTACCGCACCCATACTGCTTATTTAATGTCCAAATCGACACAAACGTCGATAAATCTAAATCCACTTAGAAAATCGCGTAGAATTGAATTCTATTTCAATTGTCACTTATAAAAACAATATTGTCTGACTTGCACTTAAAATAACAGGTGTCACATGAAAAAGACATCATTTATTGTAAATTTCAAGCTATAAATAACTCCAGGTTAGACAGTAATTGTAGTATTTTATGTAGAGGTTATTATAACCATTTAGCATTTCCGAAATTAAATAAATCGAACAAAATAAGTCGACCCATTTTACAAAGTAAATGCTTAAACTGAAGTAATTGTGTTGTGAATCATTTGAAATGCACAAAAATAATTTCAATCACTAAATATCCTTTACACTTCAATGAAATTACTTAATTTGGAAATATATAAAACAAAAGATGTTTAGTTTAATGATTGCGCATTATGGTTTGTACCCGTGTTTTATAATATACGGGTACTGTATTATTATGTAAGGGAAGTAACAATGAATGTATTCATTTTCCTTCTAAATAGAGTTACTCCTCTTTTTTTTTGTTTTATTTTAGATACACCTTTTCAGGGAGGATTAACCAATGGGTTTGCCTTTGCAGCAAGCGCTGGTGTAGATGGGGCTTGGGGCCCAATGCAAACTCTTACAGTTGAAGTTTATCCTACACTTGCAAGGTAAGCTTTTCTTAAAAAGGTGAACCGGATAATTGTAACCCTGTTCAAGGGACAGGACTTGAAGTGGTTGCACACTTTGTTCAAGCGAGAAAAAGTGAATATTTATATCACCGGCAAGTATCTTCTGTAGGAAAGTGGATTTGTATGTTATTTTGATTTTCTATATGTCCATTCCGTATGCACATTCGGTTTTGGGTTTCAGGTTCACAGGTTCTGATTTGACAAAGTTATTGAAGATATAGACACTGGTCATAAACATGTTTTGAGATTTGACACGTGACAATCCATAACCATTTTGTCAAGTTTGCAACCACTTTTCTCGCTTGAACTAAGTGTGAAACCACTTCACGTCCCTGTCCCTATTTAGGATAGCGAAGAAAGGTATCAAAGTATATATCCTTGTATTTGCTGGATTTATAATATCAGAGAATGTATATGCATTTTAGCTGTTTTATCACTGCAAAAGTTGAATAATATAATATTACACCTATTGTCTTTGAATATGAATGGTTAGGAATACATGACACACAGCTTTACCAGAAATACTGTTAAAACGTTGCAGAATACTAGTACTTTGAAGTCCTTTCCCGCCCAAAAAAAAAAAGAATTCTAACATCGCCCAAAATCGTTTTAAATCGGTCTTTTCCGGAATGTAAGTTTTCGCTATTTTTGGCATTCAATAATTTTCATCCGTTTATAACCGGGATTTAGTACAAATCGATAAAGAATAAGTGATTGTAGATAATCTTATTTCCAAGATTTTGAAAAAAATAACATTCCAGAAATAACCCATTTACTACACTATTGATCGATGTTACATTTTTTTGGCGGGAAAGCATTCAGTAAGACTACCTAAACAGAAGATTTACGAAGCGAAAGTAACACATCAAATGCTTAAATACAATTTATAGAAGTCAATTTTTTTTACAACATCTATTCTACAGGATGGAACGGAGGAATAGGGGAAGTCAAACTTGGTTTTTATTACGTTAAATATTTATGTACACTTAATTATTATAAATGAAAAAGTTATTTCTTATTTGATATACCTTTTTGTACAATAACCATTCAATGCAGGAACACTGGCTTTGGATTTTTAAGTACATTGGCAAGACTCGGTGCTGTGGTAGGGCCTCAGCTTGTTTACTTGGTAAGTTTATAACGTACAAGTTATTTGGAAATTAAAGTGACATGTTTTAAAATTATGTACGATAAATAAACATAAAAACTCATAAATTTCGACCAAGGCATGTAAAATCATTTCCTTTGAATGGAACCATTACTTAAATTTTCTAAAAATGAGTTTTTTTGTTAGTTCTGTTTATAAACTGATTGTCACTCTGTCATTTGTAGATGAATGCTCAGATGCCAAAAAGTATATTAGTTTCTTAGTCAAATTTTGAGAAACAAGCATTATTTTACTCCTAACAAAACTGACCAATTGAACATATATCATTTTTGTTTGTTTGCTTGTTTCTTTTTTTAATGGGGTTTTAAACTGTTTCATCCAACTAAAGTACATGCATGCTCAAACCCAATTTCTCGCAATATTTCTACATATACTGTACTTGTAAAGCGTTTAGTTAACAAAATTGATGTGTTGGTCATTAAATTGACCTTTAAGTGTAATTCACGGAAAGGTCCGAACTTGACCGAATGTACCCGAGCTATTGATTGATAGGTTAACATCACACTTTGTAGCCGCTAGAGATGCTCATTTTATATGAATTTGACGCCTGACTTTGAATTAAAAGTTTATCCTGAATTATACGTCGAGATATCAGTTTAATCAATGTGTTTCTTTAACATGCTCCTGAATTAACTACAATGTACATTCTGTGCACATTTTTGTTTAAAGGGAAATAAAGTTCTCGTACTATTTTCCTCAAAGTTTTTAAGTTGACTGCATAATCTACTCTAGCCGGTCCCGGACTACTTTGTATTTCCCTACCCATTTTTTACAGACACAATTAACAATTAAGTACCTTTTTATTAGCGTTAAACATTCCTTCCGGGCTACTTTATTTCATCATTTCCGGTTACGAGGCATTGTCTAATTTGTCTTTATTATTTCCGGTTACAAGGCATTGTCTAATTTGTCTTTATACATTATGTTTTCTTTTACAGGAAGACTTTGCTCCCGGACTACTTTATTTCATCATTTCCGGTTACAAGGCATTGTCTAATTTGTCTTTATATATTATGTTTTCTTTTACAGGAAGACTTTGCTCCCGGACTACTTTATTTCATCATTTCCGGTTACAAGGCATTGTCTAATTTGTCTTTATATATTATGTTTTCATTTACAGGAAGACTTTGCTCCCGGACTACTTTATTTCATCATTTCCGGTTACAAGGCATTGTCTAATTTGTCTTTATATATTATGTTTTATTTTAACAGGAAGACTTTGCTCCCGGACTACTTTATTTCATCATTTCCGGTTACAAGGCATTGTCTAATTTGTCTTTATTATTTCCGGTTACGAGGCATTGTCTAATTTGTCTTTATATATTATGTTTTCTTTTTATAGGAAGACTTTGCTCCCGGACTACTTTATTTCATCATTTCCGGTAACAAGGCATTGCCTAATTTGTCTTTATTATTTCCGGTTACGAGGCATTGTCTAATTTGTCTTTATATATTATGTTTTCTTTTTATAGGAAGACTTTGCTCCCGGACTACTTTATTTCATTATTTCCGGTTACAAGGCATTGTCTAATTTGTCTTTATTATTTCCGGTTACGAGGCATTGTCTAATTTTTCTTTATATATTATGTTTTCTTTTACAGGAAGACTTTGCTCCCGGACTACTTTATTTCATCATTTCCGGTTACAAGGCATTGTATAATTTGTCTTTATATATTATGTTTTATTTTAACAGGAAGACTTTGCTCCCGGACTACTTTATTTCGTCGTTGCCGGACTAGCGGCATTGTCTATTTTGTGTATATTTTGTTTACCAGAGACGATGGACACAACTCTGCCGGACAAAATTACAGACCATCTTGAAGATCAACGTAGAAAAGAGAATGTATCGTTTGAAAACAAATACAAATTATAAAAAAACGAAGTAAAAATGTAAATGAAGTATAAATGTATTACATTGTAATTATACTCGTATTAGATTAAAGAATTCAGTATATACAAAAATAGAAATTAAATGTTTCCGGAAACCTTATTTCTTTTTTTAACTCCAATATGGTAAGTACGGTTGGCGATGACGGTTATCATTTGTATATTATTACGAATCGTACACCCACAAGTGAAAGTTAAACAGTTATGAAGATGGTATGTACATACGAAAGACCGGTGAGGGCATTTCTATTTAATTAATTCACGATTTCAACATAAGGAATTCACCGATTTCAACTTCATGAATTCAAGATTTCAACTTCGTGAATTCACGATTTAAACTTCATGAATAAACGATTTTAGCTTCGCGAATTTACGATTAAAATACTTTAACTTTAACGAATTCAACTTCATGCGTTCACGTTTTGAACTTCTCGATTTGAACTTTGAATATGAAATCGTGAATACACGAGGTTGAAGTCATCAATTCGTATGTTGAAAACGTGAAGTTAAAATTGTGAATTCACGAAGATGAAATCGGGAATTCATTAAGTTGAAATGTCCCATGGGTCGTTTGTAGGTATGCCCACAATCATATCACTTCGCCTTTTCAGAAAGTCATCATTTATAATGACAGAACTACTTTCAAAAAGAAATAATCCTTGCGATTATTAATCAGAAACAACTTTGGTTAATGAACCGGAGTCCGCACCATACAAACAGTTTTAATTCGTAACAGAAAGTTGCAAATGTGCACCAGGGAAGATCCGCCGTGGCTGAAATCACAGGTTATATCTCATGCTCGTGAATATTTGCCATAATCCGTCATTTTCCGTGATTTGCTGAAAACATTTCTCGTGCTCATTAATGTTCAGCATAATTCGTGAATTTTCGTTAATTAATGATTTATGATACGGAATCAAATTTTAAAATGCTCGTAAGTGTTCGGTATAGTTCGTCAATTTCCGTAAATTATTGATATATGATATGAAATACATTTATCTTATTCTTATAAATGTTCGGCATAATTCGTCAATTTCCGTCATTAGATTATTTATGATATGGAATCCATTCATAAAATGCTCGTTAGGGTCCGGCATAATTCGTCAATTTCCGTAAATTGATTTATGATATGGTAATCATCTTATCTTATGCTCATTTATGATCAGTATCATTCGTCAGTTTTGGTGGTTAGTTGATTTGTAATATTTCATATTTCTCATATGTTTTTTTACTGTTGGGCATACATATACTTCGCCAGTTTCCGTGATTTGTTGATTTATGATATTGCATAGATTTATCATATCCTATTTTATGTTCGGTGTAGTTCGCCAATTTTCGTGAATTGATTATATCATTTATCATGTGCTAGCAAATATTCGGCATATTTAGTTAATTTCCGCTATTTGATGATTTATGATTTCGAATTCATTTTTATTGTTTGCTCGCTTATCTTCGGCATATTTTATTATTTTTCGTATTTTTTTGAATTATGATATTGCATACATTTATCCTACGCTCGGTAATGTCCGGGAAATTTCGTAGGCTTCGTGATATGTTGATTTATGATATTGAATACACGTATCTTGTGACTGTGCAGATATTCTTATCAGCCAACAAGGTTGTTAACATAACATAACAATCATTCAGAATACGTCAAGTTAAAAAGTGGTCTAAATATGCACGCACACAAACACTTGGAAACTTTATTTATGATGACTGAATTGCCTTTAATAAAGTTTTGATAACAATTAAATTGTCAAACTAAAAAAAAAGTAACAATGCCTTTTCTTTTTTGTCGACGAAATTTTATGAACTTAAAGGTGGCAACATTGAATTTGAGAACTCACATTTATTTGCTATAGCTTCTATGACAGATGTTTGGTGATGATGATGATGATGCTGATGAAAATGGTAATGGTAATGATGATGATGATGTTGATGAAAATGGTAATGATGATGATGGTCATGATGCTGTTGATGATGCTGGCGATGATGATGGTATTGATGATGATGTTGATGAAAATGGTAATGATGATGATGGTCATGATGCTGTTTATGATGATGATGATGATGATGATGAAGATAAAAATTGTGATTATAATGATGATTTTGTCTAAGATAATGAACATGATATAGAAGAAGAAGTAGAAAATGAAAAAGATATTTATAATCATCATGAAGATGTTGATGATAAAAAAAATGAAGTTTAAGAAGATGGTTAGGATGGTGATTATAAAGATTGCACTAACAAAGTCAATAACTGCTTTTGTTGCAGCAGCTGCTGCTGCTAATGATGATGATAATGATGATTATGATGATGACGATGATTTTGTCGAAGATGATGAACATGATATAGAAGAAGAAGTAGAAAATGAAAAATATATTTATGATCCTCATGAAGCTCTTGATGATAAAAATAATAAAGTAAAAGAAGAAGATGATGATGATGATTACAAAGATTGTACTAACAAAGCAAATAACTGTTATTGTAGCAGCTGCTGCTGCTGCTGATGATGATAATAATGATGATGATGATGACGACGACGCCGAAGACGACGATGATGATGAAGATGATGATGACGAGGACGACGAAAACGATGATGATGATGATTGTGATAATGATGATGATCATGATGATGATGAAGATATAGAAAAATAAGAAATTGATAATATCCGGAGGAATGCAGCTTTAAATGAAATTTTGATCAGTAAAATGCTGACGTGTTACGTGTTGCTAAAATACTTGAATTAAGCATCTAACAACTTATTTTTCGACCATGTCATTAAAATAAATTATGAAATAAGAGGCTCTATTATTTTAGGCTAAACTTTAACATGTTATATAGCTTTTGAGATCTACTTGAAATTTCGAAAAGCAACAGATGGCCAGCGACTTTACAGATGCCGTCAACAAAACGATATAAATAGAAGGAATGTCTGACACTGCTCGTCTTTTCACGGTACCATCTTTATACGGTACATCCCGTCGCGAAAATGTGGTACATTGCAATATTTTTTCTGCTTGGCGTTTGCGCGAAAGATTTCACAGGGTACGTAGAAATTTTCTTTTAAACTGACTTTTTATATTTAAAACTCTAAACTTTCACATTTTATTCTTACCATTTATCTTTACAAAATGAAACTGTAGGATATCATTACGACAAAATGTTTCAAGAAGACACAGGCATAATTTAGTATAGTTATATAAAAAAAAGTTAAGCATTTCGTACCACTGTACCAGATAATAATTTATTCTATACGAAATAAACATTCGTGTTTAAAATAAATAAAAAAAATGAAAAAAATTATAATGATTAAAATAATAATAAAAATGAAATTAAATATTTAATTAATGAATGGATAAATGAATGAAGGAAGAAAGGTAGGAAGAAAGAAAGAAAGACTATGAAGGAAGAAAAAAATAGGAAGAAAGAAAGAAAGAAAGAAAGAAAGAAAAGAAGCAAGAAAGAAGAAAGAAATAATGAAGAAAAAAGAAAGTAAGAAAGAAAGAAACAAAAAATAGAAAGAGAGAAAGCCAGAAAGAAGGAAGGAATTAAGGAAGGAAGGAACGGAAAAATGAAAGAGCAAAAACAGAACAAAATAAAGAAAGAACGAAGGAAAGAACGAAGAAATGAATGAATAAAGGGAGGAATAAACGTATAAATGAAAAAAGGAATAAATTAAAGAAAGAATGTAGCATAAACTGAAGAACAAACGGTTGGAACGGATTATTAAAAATATATGATATCAATTCGTCTTTTAAAAAAGTTTATTTCTACATTGTTAAATGTTTTTATAACACATTGTTTAAAACACAAGACTGAAAAACCACTGTCATAATACATATGAGCCGCGTCATGACAAAAACCAACATAGTGCGTTGGCGACTAGCATGGATTCAGACCAGCCTGTGCCTCAGCGCTATCTGATCAGGATCCATGCTGTTCGCTGTCAGTTTCTCCACTTGTATTAGAGTTGGTAAGCGGAACCGCAGGCTGGTCTGGATCCATGCTGGTCGCAAACCCATTATGTTGGTTTTGTCGTGACGCGGCTCAAATATGCATTGTTAATTTCAGGCATCGACTGATCTCGATCACAGCTCGAACCAATGCTGACCTGGAGTTTCTCAACTCTCTGAGTGACAGTGGCGCCTTTGAAGAGGTAGGTGGTTTAGTTGGCAAAATATATGAATAATTAGTTACATAATTATTTAACAAAACGAAAGCATCGTAAAAGTTCGTAAAAGACCCGAATGTCTCGTTTGGTTCCGTTTCTGATAGAAACATGTTAAAAAGTTAACCCTTATATGCGCTCGTAAAAGTCCGGCACATCTCGTTAAACCCTTATATGCGATTGTAAAAATTCGACGTGTCTATTGAAAGTTGTATGCGCTCATATTAGTCCGACATGTCTCGTTAAACCCGTATATGCGCTTGTAAAAGTCCGGTATGTCTCGTTAAACTGTTCTTTGCGCTCGTGAAAGTCCGGTATGTCTCGTTAAACTGTTATTTGCGCTCGTAAAAGTCCGATATATCTCGTTTAACCCGTATATGCGCTTGTAAAAGTCCGGTCTATCTCGTGAAACCCGTATATGCGATCGTAAAAGTCCGGTCTATCTCGTTAAACCCGTATATGCGCTTGTAAAAGTCCGGTCTATTTCGTTGAACTCGTATATGCGCTCGTAAAATTCCGGCATGTCTCGTCTATATCTGTCTAATGGCATGCCTGGCAGTTTTTCATAAGTCCGCCCGCTTAGCCAATAGGAAGAACCAAGAGTTCGCTGGTTCGATCCTCTCCGTGATAATTGATCTCGGATATTGAGTCCTTTGTCGGTAATTTCCGGAGATCATGTTAATTACTTTTTAGTTATCCAGATACGCCGGTTAGGTGGATCGACAAAAAATGTGTTACAAAATCGGCGTAAAAAAGAGGGAAAAAATCATAGCTTTACACGATTTATGGGAGTTGAGATTCGGTCAAAATCATACAATCTGTTCACGAATAATACTTATATGTATTGAGTAAATATGTTATTACGTAAAAAAATGATCGTAAATTTCGTATTTTAAGTTTAAATGTGTAATTAATATCATTTCGATTTTGATATGACAAAGGGGGATTACTTATGCCTTTTCTTTCAAGGGGAAGTTACTTCCCCTGCCGGGTTTACGTAATTTGCTGTTCCATCCTACGCCCCAATCATTCAATATTTATTATTATTATTATTGTTTAAAATATTTATTCGCCGAAATATTTTTATCATTCCGTTACAGCTTGATTTTTGGACTGAACTTTCTCTCCATCACCCAGTCGAGATTCGAGTTTCACCAAACGACTTTGAGAAACTTCAACAAAGTTTGTACGATGTTGGTTTGACGTACATTATACTCAACCATAATATTCAAGAGTAAGGTTTTTCTTATATTACCGTTATTTCCCCTTGAAAAGTCTAAAATTTAAACTGCAGAAACTACCTTAACATGAACAAAAATCATTGTCTCATATAGCCGGAAATTCGCTATAACCGTGTTCGTTATAAGAGGAATTTACTGTATAAGTTTCAAAACCAGGACAGTAGCGTTGCTTAAATCAAATGTATTTATTATCAACTTCATGTTTTGTTTTATGTTATTTCTATAAAATTCAGGGTCATTCAGTATGAAATACTTGGCCAGCTGGAACTGAAAGTTATCAGCCTTTGCCACTAGTATAGAGCCAGGTCAGTCTGCAATTAGGTGCTGTCTAACAAGGTTCTTTACTGTTGGCAGACCAATCTCAAATTTTCATCTTGAAAAAACCCACAATTGATAATGGAAATATACAAAATTGGAAGATGGTCAAGTCCATTTGGCAAGTATAGGTTAAATGTTTTTATAATTACAGCACGATTGATGATGAAAAGATAGCTATGGCAAAGGTTCCAAAGAATGCAAACGGATGTGACGTCACAGGCACCTACTGCACGTTCGCCGAGGTAAAATTCATATTTTCTTATCATGTACTATATATTCGGACGGCGAATATCTTTTACTATTGATGTTAACGGCCATCTTGTTCTGCTTCCAAGGTTTTAAAGATTGGTGTCTGCGCATGCTCAAATCTCAGGTGTTTGATTGGTCAGAAACCAGCATAGAATGTTTATTGACTAATGAAAATACTGCGATTCGAGACATTATATTTAGTAACAAATCATTCAATTACATAATTATGTCTTTTTGTTTTATATTTGTCCGGATATCATGTGTTTGTATGTTTGTTTTTGTCGGGTTTTAAGTCAAACCGACATGCGCATGCGTTTGCCTTACTTCCGTTTTGGAGGAAGGAATCAGGGGTTCCATCGTGCATTATTCCAGGCAAAATTGCCAGCTCGCACGCAAGTTGGACCAACGGCGTTTCGTAGGCAAATTGGGTAAATACAAATTCTCTGAAAGGATAACAGCTCACAGCAGCGAGGGGCCCAGCGACCTTTACCACTAACCCACGGAGGCTTCAAGATGCGCATTTAGGTGCTAGACAATTCCACTAGCATATTTTCAAGACCGCCTTCAGTAACTGGATTCATCCTTAAATAACTGGATTCATCCAAGTCTTTTCTGGTAGATGAAACATATTTACCAACTGCCTTCATCGTGGTTAATGTTTATTTTTTAAAAAAAGGATAGGAAATAGAGTCTGCGCACATTTGACCGTTTTTTTTTACTGTTCATAAAATGCACTACGCAAGGTGACGATACACAGAGTGACGAGATGTAAAAATGAGCCGCGTCACGACAAAACCAACATAGTGCGTTTGCGACCAGCATGGATCCAGACCAGTCTGCGCATCCGCGCAGTCTGATCAGGATACATGCTGTTCGCTTACAGACCCTATAACAAGTAAAGAAACTGATAGCGAACAGCATGGATCCTGATCAGACTGCGCGGATCAGAATGGTTGCAAACCCACTATGTTGGTTTTGTCATGACGCGGCTCAAATAATGAACTTTATTGTTGTTTTTTCTTCCTCAGATATCGGCTTGGTTGGACGAGAAAGATGCGGATCCCCGCGTTCAAGTTTCAGTTACGGCAACATCTTCCTTTGAGGGTCGGCCTATCTTTATAGTGAAGGTTTGAATTCCGCATCTTTCTTACGCATTTTTTAGCATCATCCATAATTTGTAATATGATATAAAATTGTATTTAAAGATATAAATTTGTATTCCATTCATTATTATAATTGATGCTGATTTTAAAAAGGCTCTAGGACTCTCTTTAAACGCTTGTTTGTATATTTAATTCGAATGCGATGGTCATATTACAAACACGGCATATAACAGGAACCTTTATATACAATACACACATTTGCTTCGCGTTTTTTGAAGAAAAAAATGAAATAAATTGGCAACAGTCGTATAAAAAGTTTATATAGTTGTCGCAATTATCCAATGAGAAGCCACGTTACAAACGTGAACCATTATGTTTATTTTTTGTTTCGTTTTCTCTATAGGTTGCAGCTGACATGAACAATCCAAAGGAAGCTGTTTGGATCGAGGCTGGTACGCATGCGCGAGAATGGATTGCCGTTTCCTCAGCTTTAAATCTGATTGAAAGGGTAATTATATCAACAAGATTCATTTTTATAAGTTATAAGATCGGCATTTATATCCGCTCAGGCGATAGTGCATAACGAACTCGGATTCAAGAGGAGACGATTCGGTTCGTGAAAACGATTTTTATAATAAATTGGCACGTTTTCGTCAAGGGAGATAATTTGACACAAGTTCGAACTAACTCGTACCCGCACACATATAATATTTTTCTTTTCTTTTTTTCTTTACTTTATCAGACCATTTTCATTAAATGTACTTATTTTACGATTTAAGCGAAACGAACGAAAACGGCTTTCCATACAATATGTTGTTTTTCCCCCTCTATTTTCAGCTATCGGACACACAAGACACGTTCGCCAATGAAATGCTTTCAAATTTTGACTTTTATATTGTACCTGTGCACAATCCGGACGGTTATGTCTATTCACATGTAAGTATAGGTAGTAGGTGATAATCTGGCACGTAAAGTTACATAATGTGCCATTTGCTTCTAATGTATCTGTCCCGTGCAGAATTAGGATGTATAGAATTAAAATTGTTCTCCAAGTAACTGTGATTTATAACAAACCACTTTTGTACCCACTGCATGCTTCTCTAGGGAAAATGTCTATAAAATACTGAAGGCAATGCTGTTAGCTGATAAGCCCATATTAAATAGACTTGTTAATCTTTAAATCTGGACAAAACCATTCATCATAATTATAAGGTAAAGATTCAAAATACGTATAAAAACTTGTATCTGAAATCTTTGTTATCTCGAATCTATGTTATCTCGAATCTTTGTGATCTCGAACTATATTTGTTTTAAAGACATCAAACAGACTTTGGAGAAAAAACAGACAGACATGTACAGGAATAGGGTCAGGGGTTGGAACTGATCTGAACAGGAATTGGGGCGCTGGATTCGGGGGTTGGTATACATTACATTTTCACCAACTTCAGAGTAAATTTTTGTGATAATAATAATAATCATAATTCGTAAATGAATATTTATTACCAATTATGAATTAATATAATTTTATTCAAATAAATGATTAATATTCATATTTTACGCAATAAAAAAAAACAATTATGTAGATAGGCAATATGTATATTAAGTGAAGATTGCAGACTCGTTTTGATTTTGAAATTTGCGGCCCCAATGGAGCAGAAATTACCACAAATGAAAAGTCACACATACTTGCTGTTAGTGTCAAAGCAATGTTTTTTTCAAGATGAACAATGGAAGCAGATCTAACCGAGAGTGTATGAATCTCGCCACATTTGCGACATACTGAATAACAAATGAAATCCCCCGCCTGTGGCTGAGGGGTTGTCATTAACGGTTGATGGATCAAAATTTATCCCTGCGTGGTCATATATAAGAGGCGACTTAATGAGTTCGAATCACGGAAGTCTATGCATCTCTTTGCTCCACCCGGTGAGGCGGTTTTGACACCTGGTGTTGCTTTAAGTTTACAAAATCATCTTTCCTGTTTCGGCGCCATATGACCTAAATTGTGTTGGTGTCGTATTACCGCACAAAACAAACAAAAACAAACAAATAAAACATTTATTTTTGGTGCTTTTATTTTATTTTAGGTGCGGGAACATCCGCCTTTTGTTCAAGTCATACTTATAGAGGCAGTGCTGCATTTTCCGCCCCTGAGACCGCGGCTTTGAGGGACGCCGCTTTCGGTGCTGATTCTCCCTACATCAGGGCGTTTTTCTCTGTCCACTGTTATTCTGAATTTATGCTCGTTCCTTACGGCTACACAAGCACAAAGCCGGCGAGATATACTCATCTTGTAAGATTTTTATTTTATTTATTTCTACTCTTATAAAATGAAATGATATATCTTAAACATACTGAGGTTATTCACACCTTACAAAATGAAAAAAAGATCTTAAACCTATTGCGGTATTTTGACGTTTTGTTCTACTTTCTTTTCTTATTTACTTCTAAACTGTGAACTAGTAAACTTTCACCATTTGCACCACGTGATGTTCAAGTAGAAGCCATTTCTGGACCAAGTCTCATTAATTTAGCCAGATTTTATATCCCGAGTCCAAAAATCCATATCAAATCCATATCAAATCCGTAATGAACTCCGGCTAGCTTCGTTTTCATTTTCCGAATTTAAAACAAAGCAGCAACAATTTATATCAAATCTATATAGTACTCGAAGTACCGAGGTATGTCAAAACGTCAAAACAAATGGTTGTGTGAAATAAAAAGAAGTTAAAAAATGTATTAATATGCTGATTCTATTCAGGCACTCTATATCCTATAGCTTTTATCTGTCAAACCTTAATTGAACGAAATGCCACTCGAGTCCAATATAGGTTTCACAGCTGTGGATGTGTATAACAACCTCATAAGATTAACTACACATCTCATTGTAACAAATTTGTAACACTTTACATGGAAAGTTACAGCATTACTTGAAAGAATGGAGGTTTTGTTGAGGTCCTATGATTTTTCGTTGGTGAAACACTTCTATTTTTCTACTTCAGGTCGAGGTTGCCGACGCTATGATGGCATATTTGGAAACAGTCGACAATAGATATTACTTAGTCGGAACTCCCCCGGACATCCTCTGTAAGTGTTTTCTAAAATCCTCTTCTTTATCGAGAACTTTAAACTGGGACGCCATCATTTTCTTAAGAGTTTGCTTAAGTGATTTACTTTTTTTCCCAAAATAAGTTTGTGGAATAATTCGTCAGCCTGGTCCTGGCAGGTCTTAAGCACTAATAAGCACTAATAAGAGCATCATGCCTCCCTGACACCGGCGTCTTAGGCATTAATGGAAACACCATGCCTCCCTAACACCGGCTCAAAAACTGTAAAATAACGCTGATTCTTTTTTAATTAGTGAAGTGGCATCTGAGAAGTATAAGTAAAACTAAAAAAGAACAGAGCTGAAAATTTAAAACAGTAAGAAATATTGAAAGAGTCCAAGCTTTTATGGAAATCTAACCATTCAAAACGGGAGAACATATCGCAGTATTTCGTCCAGAATATTTATGATTTATATTATAACGCCGATATTAAATGCTTTTTAATGTCTCGCCTTGTCACTGGTCGACACACACTGTCTGTATACCGCCATCTCAAACTCCTCACAGTGATTACCTCCCTTGGCAGAATTGTAATCACTGCCTTCAAAGACGTCACATGATGATGAAAGTCACATGACGTAACGTCGAAATTCAAATGTAAATATCGACCGTTACAAAGAAAATCTAACGTTATTTTTCTCTTTCTGTTTTATTTTTAACTTTAAGTGCCTATGTTCGATATAGTTTATCAAAAAATTATCGAAAGTATACAAAATAACGAAAAATAAATTCAAAAGCTAAAAAATATAAAATATCAAAATATCGTCTCGGTAGAAAATAATCTCATAATTTTTAAAATTATTTCTAAATATTCATATTATTTATTTATTTATTCATAAACATTGTTAAATAAATGAGAGAAAACTTATCTGATAGATAAAAGCAGTAGATAAAACAATTTTTGAAAAAATATAGTATATCAGAAATTCTGATATATTTGGACCTTGGTGGCGGAGATCTACGCCGAAGAATTAAGGGGAGATCACTGCGTGGAGATTGCCACCATCTACTCTAGAGTTCCTTCCCTTACACTACTTTACTTATAGTAATAGAAGGCAGGAAACCAGACTAACCGCCATCAGGTATCAGTATCATTCCGACGCTTGAGTCTTGTAACAAAAAAAACCCCAAGCATCTGGTTGACAGAACTAGTAAGTTCGCATAAAACCCCAATCTTGTAATATCCATTCGTATATTTAACTGCAATAAAATTTTATTACATCATGATTACGTCATGATCTTTATTCTCCCCACAGACGCTGCATCAGGCGGTGCGTATGACTATTTCTACATTGAAGGAGTACCCTACGCGTACACGTATGAATTACGACCACAGAGTGGAACAAGCAATGGCTTCGTAATCAGCCCATCAAACATTCCAACTGCTGCAGAAGAACTGTTTATCTCATTGTGGGCGTTCGCAACCTACGACAATCTAAACTACGATTAAACCGAACTCAAAGCTGCAGAAGCTGCGCAACATCAAGAAACATCCCTAGAAACTGGGTTTATGTTGTTATTAAATCTTCATTAATAAATAAAAAATGCCTTGAAGTGTTATATGTTTGTTAGTTTTGTTTGTTGTAATGTTTGTTGAAATGCACATTACCAGACCTTTGTTACACAGGTCCATACGTATGAAAAGCGTGAAAAAATAAAGTATATACTTATTTTATCTATACGTACTGAATTTTAGCCATATTGCACTTGGATTTAGCAAGGTCATATCAACCGAAATACTAGAATGTTTGCACAGCCAACAATATACCGTTCAATTAGGCTATAATAAGATATGGATAAGCAATCTTGGCTGACTAGATGCCATTACTCCATTTCATTTAATATGTTAAAATGTTCAACATGGACCTTTTGGCCGGTGCGAGGCTGTCTGCGTTTCACTACCGGATCAATACAATGGTTTTGTTTAAGCGCCGCTATAGCGTGGCGGAGGTATGATGATAATATTAATGATAATTGCAACACACAAACACAATCTGCACCACCACCACCACCACCACAACAACAACAGCAACAACCAGAACAACAACAACAACAACAAAAAAAACAACAAAAAACTGAAAACTTATAATAATAAATTATTAACAAAAATATATTTTTAATTTAACGTTTTTAATATTTTCAACATAGCAAAACAAAACAACATTTGACTTGTTCACTTTTGATCACATCGCGAAATTGTCAGTATTTTAAAAAATTAATCTCTTTGGAATTATCACAGTATCATTAAGCACGAAATTCACGTGCAGTTTTTGTGTATGAATTTATACTGTTGGGAATGATGCTTGTGTAGCGATACCGCACATGTTCTTGTCGTTTCTGGCCATCATGACAAAACCTCTATCTCCCCATGTGGTACCCCAACTGTAATGATAATAATAATGAATTAGGAAAACTTCTTGCCGCTATATCAAGATAGAGAAATCATAGTTGAAAGTTGATTTAAGTATTACCGGTATATAGAAATTTCCGACAAAAATTAGATTTATCACCAAATTCCGAAATACAAGATCATTTACTATAATGACAAATGAAAGATCTCTGGGTTTGACATATTCTTTTATACAAATTACATGATACTATTTCGTAGTTATATTCTTGTTGCATTATATCAAATGGTATGGTACCTGTTTTTAACAAGCCAGTAATCTTGTCCAGACTCACTACCATACCCTACGGCGAGAACGCCATGGTCAAGACGGATACTGCTGCATGCTGGCTCTTTGTAAACTCCGCTCCTGAAACCATATCTCTAGATTATAATATGTCAAAAATATGAACAAATGAATGAATGTATGATTGAATGAATGAATGAATGAATGAATGAATGAATGAATGGATGGATGAATGAATGAATGAATGAATGAATGAATGAATGAATGAATGAATGAATGAATGCATAATTAAACAAATAAATAAATAAATAAATAATAATCTTAATAGAAGAATAGATAAATAATTAAATATTTTAATCAAAAATGAATGAATGAAAAATATTTAAATTAAAAGAAATAAATCAATATTTAAAAAAATCAATCAATTAAATAAATCAATAAAAAATTCCAATCGATTGTAAATAGATAAATAAATAAATAAATAAATAAATATTTTTTAAATAATAAAAGACTGTTGGTTATGGATTTTTTTGTATTTTGGGTTTAAAACCAACATTTGACAAATGACAATTTAATCACGAAGTTAACATTTATGTAACAAGACTTCTTCTAGTTCCATGACTAACATGCATATCATTCTGCACAGGGAAAATTACGGTAAAGACCCAGTGTCCATGACCATTTAATCTGAAAATCACAAACCTGTAGAGTTGGAAGGATCGGTGTCCGGCGTCAATGGCAACGGAAATTGGACCTTCCATAGCAACGGCTTTTTGTAAATCAGACTCGCTTTCGTGTTCAATGTCCATACAGCTTACTTCAGTAGCACCAATATTGTCAGCCTTAAATCTACATAGACCGTCCTACAAGGAGGGAAAAAAAGGATTGACATTAAAGCAACATGCCTCCAGATGAGCGAAACTATTTCAATATATCAAACTTGTGAAAAATGTACTGAGATTTTAGGCAAAGCAGAAAGATTCGAGTAATAAGTAACATGTTATGAGCTATTAATGGTGAATTTTTCATTATGTGTAACTATATTTCTACTGCGTTACTATCGCAGTAATGGGATTTTTTCATATTTTGATCTCTTTTTGTAATAAACGTGGGTTGAAAGTGCTGCTGATAATGTGTAAAATGATTTATTTTGGTTACTTTATAATAATATATATCTAATTTCATTTTCATGAAAATTAGCATTAACCTGGAGGCATACTGCTTTAATTCTGGTCCTTTTAATAACATGCCTCCAGATTTATGCCACTTTTCTCGAACTTTGAAAATGTATTTAAAAATTAAAAATATTGTGAAGTGTACAAAAACACAAATTTTCAAATTGCACAAAGACACAAATAATCAAAGTGCAAGTGTTAATTACAATCCAAGTAAAATAACGAAATAAGTTCAAAATATGCAGAAATAGCCCTTACATAATTAGACACGTGGTAGAAATATGGTGATAAATACTGCAATATCAATAATAAATCGCACATGACATGTACAGTATTACATGTATCGTTTAAACCTTTGTAAATTTTTCTCAAGTTTCATTTCTTTGGAGAAAAAAACCCCAACAAAATATAAAAAAAGAAGAAACAAACAAACAAAAAAACAGTAATAGTAAGATAAATGTATCAAGGAGAAGTAACTATTACACTCTTAACCTATATGTATTGTTTGAGTTCTTTCCCTTTGATCCAAAAAACCGCCGATTTAATGAAGTTGGTTTGTGAGCTAATGGATTTGCGCTTTTTTTAATCTTAGAGTACTGAATGTTCAAGGGGTTTTACTATAAAATTAAAATGAAGTGAGCTACCAACATCATATCGCCTGACCAGCCCTGTACTGATTCCCAGGCCAACCTGGCTCGTTACTTTGGCAGAAAGAATTTCGTTAGATTTAAGAAGATTCAAAGTCAAAACCAAGCTAAAAAAAAAAAAAAGATCTTAAAAGTCGAGCCTAGAATTATGTCAGGTCATACATGCTTACTGTTGACATTTAACCGGTTCTAACAGGTTTAAAGCCAATGTTGAGTCTTTATGACATTTCTTATCCTAAATGTTTTATATAGCCTAAGACTTACTCCCCTGCGCACCGGTCGAATGTTTCACTATTGCTGACTTTCTGTGAAGTTACAGTAGTGCATTCCCTGAGATGTGATTGGAGCGTACCTTAAGCTATACACAGTTAAACTGTCAATATTGACTTAACAGGTTCAAGCAAGTTAAAGGCCATTTTTCAGCCTTTATGACATGGCAGGATCACAAAATATTTTTATGAAGCTAAAACATGGACTCACCCTTGGCTCGTATGGGTATGATTCTTCGGTATCAATTCCTTTGTTCTGGATGACGTAGGCAAAAGCTTGATCCATAAGTCCTCCCTTGCAACCATGGTTACCTATTCAAATATTAATAAATTTGAAATTATTCAAAATCGCTGATAATTAATCTACAAAATCAATATTATGCAAATAAGACTAACCAGCATGTACCTTCAAATTATAATCATACTTACAAATTATTGATTTTTCATGTTTTTCTTTTTAATTTGAACACATATCTTTGATAGATCTAATTCACATTTTATTATAGACACAGTCAATACGATTACTGTAATGTTTTTCCGCCAAAAAAAATCTTACATCGGCAATTATCGTAATACAATGTAAATCGGCCATTTCTGGATTGTTATTTTTCACAATCTTCGGTATTCAATTATTTTGAACCGTCTATAACCGGAATTTAGGGATAAAATATGAGTGATTGTAACTAATCAAATGCCCCAGTTTTTTAAAAAAAATACGTTCCGGAAACAACCGATTTGCTACGATATTCGCCGATGTAAGAATTTTGTGGCGGGAAAGCATTGCAGTAAGACTACTTTAAATAGCATTTGATCACAGAATACATTTGGTTCAAGTATTCAATGCACCATTTATTAAACAGACATGTCATTTTTTAGGAAGTTTAATATATGTATATAAGTAAATAGTTAACCTTCTCTCTCGGAGCAGTCCATTAGGTTTTTCTCGGAGAGAGAGACGAGGTTTTGTGTCTTACGGAAGTGTTGTCCTTCAAGAGATCCAGTTGCTGAGAACGACCAGCAAGAGCCGCATTGTCCCTGAATTAACAAGTTTTGTTGATTGAATGAATAAACAGATGAACAGACAAACGAAATAACAAAGGAAAAACACATAATTAATGAATAAGTTTGTTAATTTAAGTAAGGCTGACACTGTTTTAATTTCCGACGGCGGGATTCAAGCTTTTATTGTTTAGGGAGATGTCATCCCCCCACCTCCTACTCGTGCATACTTTCTGAAATAAGCATGCACGTCCGTTTAAAGTTAGTTAACTAGATCTAGATAGCTTCCTCACATGGAAGAATTTGTATTCCCTGGCGGGACTCGAACCTAAGGCAGTTGAAGGCGAACATTTAGAAGTCTTAACCATAACCTCTTTGCACCAATGAGTTTCGTTTTCATTGGTTATACAGTGCAAGCAAAAGATAAGAATGCATAAAAAATATTTGAGCCGCGTCATGACAAAACCAACATTTTGCGACCAGCATGGATCCAGACCACCTGCGCATCCGCGCAGTCTGATCAGGATCCATGCTGTTCGCTTACTAACTCTTTTACAAGTAGAGAAACTGATAGCGAACAGCATGGATCCTGATCAGACTGCGCGGATGCGCAGGCTGGTCTGGATCCATGCTGGTCGCAAACGCTTTATGTTGGTTTTGTCATGACGCGGCTCATTTTATGATTAAACATACCTGGTTCTTGATTGGTGTGACGTAACCTTTGTCCCTCCAGTCAACGGTGTCGGGGAGGTCACTGACTTCAATGTTGTTAGGGGTCATATAATGTCCGCAACGTGAAACAGCAGTAGCGTTGTGTTTGTAGCCATTCATCACAGCGACGAATTCCTTGACTCCCTGAAAGTAGAACAAAAAGTTTTTTACGTCATGCAAATGTGATTTAACGCTTCCTTACACGAAATCACACGTCGTTTGATTACTATAGTTTATGTTGGTAAAAGGCATGTATGGATTTCCATAGAATGAAATTAAACAAAGCCTACCATGTCAGCATATTCGTTCATGCCAAGCCAGAATGTGTGCACCCCTCTATCAGCCTGTAAATTGTGCGACTGTACATACTGTAAATTGTCCTCCCACAGAAGCCGTCTGAAAGACATATTCGCTGTTAGAGAAAGTATGGAAAGCCGTGTGAGTCTTATTTATATGTGTTACGCGAGTAACATTGTGAAACACAGTCTTTTTTTCTACTAAACAGAATTCGGATAAGATGAGTTAAAGTAATTAATGAGTGAGACTAAAAAAAAGGATTAGAGCACCACACTAAATACCGTATTCCGGTATATACCGGACAAGGCGCGTGAATGATAAAATGCTAAAATCTTGACTTTTCCACCCAACGGAATGTACTTTATAAGGTCTTATTCATCTTTTCACACCGATTTATATATCACAATGATTGAAAAATGTAAAAATCGGCGAAGAAAACGATATTTGTCTATTTTGTGATCATGATTTTTGCAAGCGTCTATAGGTACTGATCCTGTATTGAGTTAAATCCATAATTAATAAATTTTAAAGTCTATACATGAGTTATTACGCTGATTTTATGCCTTATCAAAAGCCGATATCTAAAACCGATGGTTTGCTAACGAAAATTTAACTGCAAATATTGTTATTGAAAATGTGAACAAAAGCAGGGGATAACATATCTCAAAGACTGTAATTTTTGACCATATGGGTCCAAAATGCGTGTCTTCTTCCAGGTGGCCCCTGCTACCACAAAGAGGAGAGAAGTAGTTAACTGGATATTCAGCGAGTGCGATACCTTAAAGATTCCTCTTCTTTTGAGACATAATTCTTCTTGTGTGTGACCTTGTACGCCTCCCACTCGCTGTCCAGGGACTTGTCAAATGGGGCGCCAAACACGGCGGCGATAATGCAAACTGCTACTGTTACACGGAACATCTAAAAGAAATTTAAAAAACAAGGTCGAATAAATGATTTATGACTGTAACACGGAGGTATTTTACTATAATTATTACTTATTCCTATAACACGGAGTTAATAAATGTAACGACCTTGTAATGTTATCGGGAGGCTAATAGGAACTAAATGACTGTGTCCCCTCAAAGTTGTTTGACTGAATAAGTGACTGATTGATTGATTGATTGATCGATTGATTGGTTGGTAAGTTGATGGTTTAGATATTTGTTTATCCATTACTTTAAATTGATGACAAATGATTTTACGTTTTATCCTTTATTTTTAGCAAACCAGTATGAACTTGTATGATTTCAAATGTTTAGATATGCCTTCAAAACGACGCTTAATATTTAGAACAGAATGTCACTCATGTGACATTAATTTTATGGTGTTATCAGCAGATAAAAGTTCATTTTAGTAAAGTTATCAACGTAAACTTTGGATAATATTTGATTACCTTATTTCAAATTTTATCAAAGGTTATCGCATTACGGTAGTGATTATTTATACATGAAAAATTAGCTAGTCGCTAGAATGAAAACTATGCTGTATATTGTCCGCTAATGAAGTCTAAGCAAGTAGTTATTGATAAATATCCCACTTTAAAAGTTCGGATACATTCGGCAACATTCGTCACTTTCCGTATTCAATTTTCATTATTAAACACAAGGTGCTTACATGTTTAACAAGTTTTATTCATATCAAACCAGAAAGTCAACGACCCGTGTGGCAAAATGTACAGTACAATTACAAATATGGCAGTTTATATACTAGCATATTATACCTATATAAACAATATTTACGAACATATTTCCGTTCTAGTTTACTTAACAGTAAACACAACTTTTTAGCAACAAGTAGATTAATTTCATTTGAGTCGTGCATTTAAAATAGTATACATAATTACAAACATATAGCAACGAAACTGATGACAGATATATAAATATGAACTGTCCAATATACATAAATAACTAAGTGATTGAAACAGTTTACCGAACATATATCACGTTTAGAAGCAAATTACGATTTTAGTATTACTGGTGACAATGATTCGCTGAATGTGTAAGATAATATAACATCTGAGAAGACCATATTTGTCAGTCTTTAAAAAATCCATGTTTGCTCTTTCTAATTAGGAAAGATTTATTTGTTTCTGAAAGCACAATGTGCCTTTTAAAGAATACGAATATTATATATTTCAATTTTAGACATAGTAAGTAAAAGTTTTATAACGTTTAAATAATGGTTTAAGAGCACGTAAGTTGTTTATCACCTGAAGAAAGCAGCACTGAATGTAATAAAAATCGTCAAATGTAAAGAAATAGTATTTTGACTTCCACACAAAATACTTAAATCGCTAAAACTGTACTAAAATTGTACTAATTGCCAAAATGCAAACGGAAACAAAAGATTAGGTTTAGTTAATTGTTAATTGTGTAATATTTTGGAAATTGTACTTGGACGCCAAAGTTAAAAAGCAATTAAAAAAAAAAAAAAAAACAAAAAAAACAAACATTTCTGGGGGCATAATGAGTCTTTAAAAAACGTAGACGATATTTTATTATAAATAAAACACTTCCACGAAATGACTGCGGAAAGAAAAACACTTCAAAACACACAAAAATTCGCTTACCTTTAGTCAGGTTTTCTCTGTACGTCCGGATCTAAATTATTTCATGAAAACCAAAGTCTTTATATAATCTAACTTTAGATGTTCACATGACAACTATGTGACTGAACAATTATATGTGAACACCACGTGCAGAAAATCATATGATTCCTACATACAATAATTATGTCTCGGGTACAATAATGTAAGACAGTACACGGATGGTTTGAGATAAACCATTATCAAATAGATAAAAAGATAAACTTGCATTTATGTATGATCATGAATTTATGACCTTAATCTTGGACACGAATTTTTGAAAATTTAACAAGAAGCGAAATCAAAAGCGAAAACCCGCTCACGCACGCACGCACGCACGCACGCACGCAGGCACGCACTCACGCACGCACGCACTCACTCACTCACTCACTCACTCACTCACTCACTCACAAACACGCAAACACAAATTATAAATAAATAAATAAATAAATGAATGAATAAATGAATAAATAAATAAATAGATAAACTAACAAACAAACAAAAACAAACAAATAAATAAATTAACAAATAAATAAACACACGTTCTTTATAATGGTATTTTTAATAATGGATAAACTATGTACACTGATAAATCACATTATCTTCTCCGGATCATCATTTTACAAGATTTCAAGGACCTGTAGTCGAAAAAACTTTTATAGCGAATGGCTTTTTCAGTCCACACCCCCGGGGTTATGTAGGGTCCGTTAAGGTTGGCATAGTAACAGCTGTTGTACCACCAGCCACCCTGAAACTTCACGGCACAGCTAGCACCATACTTGTCTACATCGTGGTCATAGGTTGAAAATGCTGCCCATTGTGGTACGGTCCAACGCTTTCACTGACCCACTTGGAAACTTGTAAATAGAAAATGATCCGAATTTACTAAAATTGCATTAAATATGATTTCCTAAAGCGCATTCACTGACTGTCAAAGAAGAAATTGGAATACACCTCCCTTAGATTTGGAATCCTTTGAACTTGTAAAGTAAGCAAATTCGAATTATATAAAATGCTTAAATAATAATAAAATTTTCGCCTGCGTAGAAATGATAATGTTAAGATATATTCGTAGACATGTTTACTAATACTGTTTTTAAATAAATAAATAAATAAATAAATAAATAAACAAATAAATAAATTTATGAATTAATAATTTAATAAAAAAGCATATTTGTACTAAAGAATTGTCTTCAAAAATCATTGTATGAAGATATTTTTTTCTGTCAGTGTTAAGTATTTATTAAAATAAATAAATAAAAAAAAAAAAACAACAACTTTAGTAGTTTTGTTACATTCACGACTCGCACTACTGGTATATTGCAAGTATTTGAACAACATAAAATCATATTTTTTATGTCGCGGGACGGCTTATCTATGTCCGTATTATTATGTCCCGGTTCAAATATTGTCCAGCTACAGTGTATACTTTTTTGACAACATTTATTTTAAATATAAGGATTATTTTTCAAGGATATTTTAATTTGTGCACTTACTCCTCAATGATCCTATAGTGGCACCGACATTGAATGTATACGCAGGCCCTGAAGATAGACTGAACTTCTCGAACGTTTCGAACCCTTTCGAGCCATTTACGGCTTCCAACTCTATACGAAGGTCTGTAAGGCCTTGGCTAGCCAGCTCTTGAATATCTCGCAACCCTGTCAGTATAGAATCATAGGTACGTCAAATGCTTAATAATTTCGTGTAAATTCGTGCAGATTCGTTAATTTCCGTAATGAACTTCTATTTTTAGATTAAGCGGCAAACAATTTTTGTTACAGCGCAAGATCATATGGCTTATCCTGCTAAAACGACGGGAAGTGACGAATGATGTCGAAAGTTTACGAAACTTTACTAATTTGTTGAATTGTATTACATAATATGACAATGTATGATAACATACATATAAAACCTAAGAGAAAATCAAATTGTCCGCAGAACATTTTATATAAATTTGAAAAGACATTTAACTGGAGTTAACAGTAACAACAAAACAACACTGTCCCCTTTCATCTGCACATCGATACAAATCGATTCAAACGACACGTTTGAAATTAACTCCATAAAATCGTTTTCCTTTATCTATTGAAAGAGAAATTTCAGCTTTTTCCAATCCACATTTTTACCTCTACATCACTATGAATTATACGAAAGACTTCCGCGGACTCATGTTTTCAAATTCATGATTTGTTTTGTTTGATTTGGGTTTTACGTCACACCGACACAGTATATAGGTCATTTAGCGACGTTCCAGCTTTACTGGTGGAGGAAGACCTCAGGTGCACTTTCGTGCATGATTTCAGGCACGAACGGGCACCTGAGTAGAACCACCGATGTTCCGTAAGCTAGCTGGACAGCTTCCTCCAATGAAATAATCCAAAGTCCCTGTCGGGATTCGAACCCACGGCGGTGAGATGCAAGTGGTTTGAAGTCAACGACCTAATCCACACGGCCACGGATTTATGAAGTTGAAATCTTGAATTCGTGAAGTTGAAATTGTGACTTCTCGACGTAAAAAATACGAAATCACGAACATGAAATCGGGAATATATGAAGCTGAAATGTTCCCACCAATCTAAAATTGAGGGGGATTAACTTCAACTGTTGCAAGTATGTATGCAAGACTGAAATGATCAAATAATTTTTTGCGTTCAAAGCAGATGAAAGAGTTACTGCGTCGAAACATTGAAGCAATTAAAAAAAACAACTTGTCCCTTTGCTAATATTTATACTAAACTAGCCTCTAGCCTTACCAAGCCAAAATTCTGTACTCAGATCACCGAAGCCATTGTCATACTGGGAAAAATTTCTATAAAAATCCACTGACCCATCAAATCGGTACTGTATGACCTGTGCGAACATGTAATATAATGTAATATGTTTTACAGAATTACCTAAAAAGTATGTAAATGGCCAGTTATTAAAACTAAATTAAATTTATTAACTCTACATTCGCTAAAAGCACTAATGAAACATTATAAAATTCATGTTGGTCCTTCTAATAGAAGAACATTTATTGTTTCTGAGGCATTATGTGCCTTTAAAAATAATGTATTGTTTTGAAATACGTTTTATGTAAACTTTTTTTTGCAATTTTGAACAAAAAGCACGTAAATGATACGAAATCGAATCGTATAATTTACGAAGAAAGTTTGTCTAGAATTTCACATTTTTTTTTTCGATCTAATGATCCAGTACTTTTGATCCACACACATATTTTGACAATTTTCTCTTTTTTCTATTCAAACCCACTAAACTAGTAATAGAAAGAACGACGAAACACGAGGCTTTCTGATTTAAACGAGGGGCGTAACGATACAGAAATCATATTCAGATGTTCTTACATTGATTACATTTTCCAGGGCGTTTCATATTGTGATGGCAAGGATTTGCCAATGATACAAAAAAAAAGAAAGAACATCAAAACACTCGGCAATCTGGTATGGACCCGAACACCCCATCCCATCGTACAAATCAGATAGCCTCCTTCTTTGGTGCTATTTCTAGTACTTAACTTACCGTCCATCCCCCATTGTCAGTGCTCATATCACAATACACATTGATGGTTCTCCTTGATTGCCATAAATTTACTGTGTACACACCACTTTTAGGACTTCCTCTTGTTCGCATGATATCTTTGCAGTCAGTAAAAACTGAAAATAATATTAAATGATATAAGTGAATTGAATATGATATCAGTTTACTAAGGAGAGCAAATTACTAGTGATGAATGGTAGCTGAAAGAATAAATGGCATGGGTTTCATGTTTGCATTAATATATTTATTTCAGCTGGATAAGTATTACACTTTGAAGTACCAATCATTAACATACTCAATAAAATAGAGAAATACAAAATCGCTAAAGACAGCCTAACACGGCCAAATTGATAATGTTGCAGGCTCGGTTAAACTGAGCCTGCGATTTTCAAGCTTTCGCTTTTGCAGGCTTGATTTAACGGAGCCTGTGATATTCAACCTTTTGCATTTGCAGGATTGGGCCAAACTGAGCCTTCGATATTTAACCTTACACTTTGCATTTTTTTGCTTTTTAAGCATATCCCCCCTTTATTAAAGAAAAAAACTGTTACTATGGTTAACCTTGTTTTATACAGCATGAGCGAAAATGTGAACCCCCTCCCCTTAAAAAAGAAATACTAAAACGAGATGTCAAAATCGTCACGCTTTCACTTTTTCTTTCAAAAATGCCAAAACACGATGAATATGTCGTTCATTTGTCTCTGCTTTTTGTATTTTTGTGGCTAAGTGAAAACACGACAATTTGAGAATTACATATTAACTATAAAATTCCTCAAATGCTTTTGGTGTCAAACTTTTCTTTTAAGATTTATTGGACTCCACTGAGGTTTTTGACATGACCGAACAGGAAATAATGTTTGGAAATAAATGTTCCATTTGATGTAGTCCTAGACCAACAGCCTTTTGCACAAATTTAAGAATTAAAAACTAAATTTCGTTTGCGCTCACTCAATTTTGAATAATTATTGTAATTGTTAGAAATGACACAAAATAAAAATTTCATCCAAATCTGACTAAGAAAAGCACATACATGCGATTTCAAATTGTTCCTTATCACATTTCTTTAATATATGTGCATATCTTTCCATTTATACTAAGCTTGTTTTTGTAACAAATTGAAATTGTACGTTTTTAAGCATTTAGACCTCAGCGGCTTATGTTCGGTCTTATTAACATTGACTTCCACAATTTTCTACAGCAAATTTACCACCATACCATCGCTATGTCCACACAAATTTCTGTTACAAAGATTCGTTGCACAACATTTGTGGCATGATTGTGTTTGCCGTTCTGAAAGTGACCTTCCCACGATCGTACATGGTATGTTTCCTTGATTCCCACATTTCTGTCAAAATATGAAAACATACAAAGTCTATTTATGCTTGACATTGCTTCGGAAATATATTTGTTCTTGACATGTATCCATTAGATGATAGTGCGATTTGTTGTGGATATTAAGATGAAGAAATATATAAAGTTATTGACCCCGTGACAATACCGCGGATATTCCATCTTTTCAGAAATTATTAACAGCACATGTACAGTTTCAGTCTCATTTGTATTTTCAATTTGAGTTAATTTCTGGTAATATAGGCCTCTGGCCCAAAATACAGTACAAAAATACAATCGAACAATAGCGAGATAAATTGCAAATACATTTGTAGCTAAATGTAATGGATTGAATTATAAAATGATTATTCAATACTAAGCTTTTCTTTTTCTTATATTTATTACATTATATAAACATTTAAAAACTGCACAGAAAAGTAGTGAAATCTCTGTACCTTGACAAGGTTGCCCAATAGGTATGAAACTCTCTAGAACTTCTATGAAACAAATATCTGGAAATAATTGGCCTTTACAGAAAAGGAACATACCATTGTAAAGGATTGTTATCATTGTATGACATAATACAAATGTACAGTTGTTTCATGTATATACTATGTGAACAAGATATTATAATAATACCTGAATGTTAGAACATCCTAGATCAAAGGTCTGTTGTCCCCCAGTATTTGTCCGATTGTTGTAGCACACCTTGAGATTAACAAAGAAAGATTTATGTATCATACTGTATTAACAAACCTCGGTTCTAGTCTGTAATTTTTTTAAAGTACTTCAGCATGTTCAGTTTGGCAATTCGACGTTGATATTTTCAAAAATACGAGCAAGTATGAAATTGCGTGTATGTTATAAATTAATGCCTGGATCTTAGGCTATGTATAAAAGTTTACGTTATCAATATAATAAAGTACAATTTGATTATCTGTTTTCTTTACATGATCTGAATTATATATTACTTTAATGCAAAAAACTCCTGATGCACACATTTTTGTATTTTGTTTGCGTTTTTTTTTTTGGAAACGTCAATTTAACGTCACAAGTTTAAGATCCCGCGATATATATTTGTCTCCTGTGAGACGTTTTTGAATGCCATGACTTGCATTTTCCTTTTTTGTTGCAAATCTACACAATCCACGAATCAAATTATCAACGGAAATGTCATTTTCTGTCATGCCCATGGACTTAAGTAAATTAATAGTTTTAAAATTGTCTTTTTAAAATGTACAAACTTGAGTTTTCAACATTGATAAAAAGGAAACTAAGGTTCATATATGCTTATATTATCATATGAGGAAGTAGTACAAATATTAATATTAAAGTAAAATATACTCTATATTGATATACAGTGATACAGTGTAAAGTTTTAAGAACAATTCTCTGACTAAATACCTGCCCACTTTGACACGTGGTTTTAGACACACAAGAGCTGAGATCCGTCATTCCGAAACATGTAAAACACTCCAATGAGGCTTTAAATAGAAACATTTGCAGAAAACAACAACAGCAAAACAATTAAAGATATAATATGCTCATATTTGAGTAAAGTATTTTTATTTTTTAAATTTATAAAAAAAACTATGAAATTCTTACGTAATATGTCTAATTTGAATTAAAAAAGTAAACATGTGTATGGAAAGCTGCATTCTTTATTACGGGGCAAATAAAATTTGTCCTTTCCAAAAAAATTCAACAACAACAAAAATGCCAGATTTTAATATGACATTACATGTATATACTCATATTGAGGCCTCCTATAGTAGGAAGAGTTTGAAACATAAATTATATACTCTGTGTGAAGTCGAAACGAAACGTGTGGATATTATATTTACAAAGAGACAGTGTAGCAATAGTCAATATTTTCAAAAATCAAATTTCAGTATGGTATGTCTTAATGTTTATTGCCCCGAAAAAAACACCAAAAAAATCTATGAATATTTATTATGAACATTACACAATAAAGCTTTTTTTGATAACCTCAAAAGTTGGAGAAAAACAGTTTTTTAGCGGATTCAATTTTAAAACCAGTCTGACCTTTATGTAATTCGTTTTAAAGACATATACCAAAAATATGAACTTCACACGAAATTATTTTTTTTTTGAAACAAAAACCAACAGGAAGAATAAGAAATTGATATATAAATCTCGAAAATATTTCCAGTCACATCGCGGTTAAAACTTTAATAGGAGCTCTTTTCATATGTCGGCACAAGATGCATTTTTCAATGGTATAGTTTTATTTAAACTGACTGATAGGATTTCTATCGCATTGCCGCATTTAGATATTATAGAGTCATTAGATTACCTAATTTACACTAAAGAACACATGGGTTTGTACGGTGTCCTATTTCATCCACAAAAGTTCGCTATTTCTCGAATAAGAGACTAGCGAAATTTAAACACGCGATAATTATCACCTTAAATGGCGAGCCTAAGACCTTATTTTTTATGAATTAATCTTCGCTTGTCTCTCATGCGATAAATAGCGCTCTTCAACGCGATAATTTTAGAGGCGAAATTGTTAAATTGCGCAATTATAAGTGCAGGAAAGGCGTAGATAAACATTATTGTGCTGCTTAAAGCTGGAACTTCCATCGTAGGGCTTTGAAGGGTTGAACAAAGTTTTGACACGACGGTGTTGCATGTTACGTGATAAAAAGCAAATAACATGCATGGTGTAGATATCTCTGACGCTGCAGGTGTTGAAATAATAAGATTAAGTATTGAGTATGAAAACGACTTGTCTCCATCACTGTGGTGAAACAATGTTTTATGTTTTTTTTTTTAAAATCTTGCCGACGTTTTAAAAACTAGAACAGATAACACTCGATGTATTCAATTTTCTTGCAAATGTAAATTCTGCACGGAATTTTACTTATAAAAAAAGTTTATATAACTTTTTAAAAGAAAACTAAGTGTAAAAAGTTACATGTATTACAATTGTCGATTTAGTTCACATTATAAGAATTAATGAATGCATAATTTTTATCCGGAACATTGCTTTCAAGTTTAGAAAAAAACTAAAAATGAAACACACCGCAAACCCCACCTTCCTAAAAAAGAAACAGAAACTTATTTTTTTTTAGATACAAAACACGTTTTCTTACCTGCAATTGTATACTCATATGCAAGAAGTACTATGATCAGCATCAAATCTGCAAACAAATGTTAATGAAAGAAAATGATAAATAAGCAAGCATCATTTAATTTCACGTCAAAATAAGCTTTGTTTACATTGCCATTTATAAAATTAAGATTGTTTGCATATATATCTCGAGCCGCTTGCTGACGGTTTTGTTTATTTTCTACATACGGTGATATAAGCTGCCAAAATTCTAAAGAAAACGAATGATTATACAGAAACCATCAAAGAAAAAGCAACATTAAAAAAAATTCTTCATATATTGATAGCAGCTGTGTGTGGACATAGTTTATAATATAGATATCACGATTATCCAATGAATAGCGACTTTGCAAGTGTGCATATTTACATATTTACATAAATACTGTATCTTTTACAAGTATACTATTTTTAATATGAGAACTAACGTCATATCAAGGTTGTTTGCTGATGTTCAAATCATCAGACCAGAACAGAATAGACGCTCAAATCATCATCAGACAGGAAGTGTAATTATGTCTAAGACCAATTTGGCAAGGAAATTATTATTGCCCAGTAGAGTAGCTTAATTTGTTTGTAGACAATCTTGTAAACAAATGTTATCTAGACAATACATTACACTATAAGGTCAAAATGTAGGCTGTGTCATTCTGTCAAAGACACAATGAAATAATAGTTAAGATATAAGTCATTTGCAATGGCAACGACTGATGTTTTCGTGTTACAAAATAACGAATTAATACTTATTTAAAAATAAAATTGTTAAATCTATCTTTTTAGTAAGTTTAGATTTTCCTTTTTTCGTCTTTATATTTCTTCTCAGAAACTAATGCTTAGATGTTTTATATTGATATGTTAGAATTGTTCATTTAAACATTTACATTTGTACCAACAAAAGTTTAAATAATACCTGATTAAATATGGGCATTAACTCTTCTGCGATTTCGTCGTAGGTCAACCTAATAGTATGTTTTTAAAAATGACCGCGATGTCATAAGACCACCAATTTGTCTTTCAAATGTTTAAATGTTTTGGAATTTAAAATTGGAACAATCAAATTAATCTAAAGAATATCGTTTAACCAAAATACACCGAAATCTTAAATCAAATCACATACGTACGTGAAAGCACTTCCTGTTTGAAAGCCATTATTAAGTTATGGTATGCTTATAGACCATCACTGTATTCTCATATTTAATCTTATTTTTCAATGTCAATGCCTATTTTAAATAGGCCACATTGCTTATCTTATGAATGACTCTTTTACGAATATACCGTGAACTAAGAGAACTTTGCAATAAATATGACTGAACTATTGGTTTTTGTCTTTAGACATTTTAAGTTACTATTTTAATTTGTGAGAGAGAGGAATAATCCCAAACTCTTTATGCTTATGTTACTGATTAAATTGTATGTAAAAACGAATACATTATTTATATGAAAAGCGATGAATAATTTTTCAACATTTTCACCAAACGGATGTGTAAACAATTTATAATTAATTTATGTTTTTCATGAGTATTCATTCATGCTTCAGTTCGTGTGACATTTCCTTAACTTCGTCATGCTATTGACTTTTCTTGAATTGTAAGGAAATAGCTTAATTCCAATCTATCATAAAAAGTGAAAACTTGAGATTTGTGTAATAAATTATTGGTTTCATGCTTTGGACAATGTATCCATGGTTTCAAGGATTAGTAAACCTGATACAAAATGTACATATAATTTTGTAACATTAAACACATGAGTGTTTTCATTTAAAATGACTTTGCCGGTGAGTATAATTTTTATTTATAATTATAAATTGAAAATTTATGATATCACAAATGATTTTACGCAAAGACAAGGGTATAGTATAGCAATTGTGTCGGTAATAACGTTTATATTGGTAATCCAGATTGATTTAAGTATCATCAGAAAATTAAATCCCTATTTAAAGCTATATCATGCTCAAATTTGATATCAGCAACATACTGAAAGTTGCAACACAGTCTCTTTTGATTTGAATATAAATATCAGCATCTATTGACTACACATAAAATTATGGTAGGTGTTTTAAACACTTAACACTATAAACGCAGTAGAAATACATACTAAGGGTCAGTAAAAAGTAACAAAAACTATCAAATTTTAAGAAGGGACTCAACATAAGGAAATGCAGCTTCATAAACATGGTTTGTGCATTTACTTTTTTAGACGAAATATATATTTATTACGGCAATACAAATATTTTATGAGCATAGTATATCTTTTACAAAGGTTGGAAGTTCATAATAAATACTATTTAAGTACTTGTTAAACTAGATTTAGCTGATAAATTGAAAGAAAAAACTTCAAGATGAAATATAACGAACATTATACTTACCTACATTAAAGCGTCACTACCCAAAAAAAGATATGTTATAAATTATGAAAATCGTGGATGACTAATCTATGCTTGATTTTAGTCCTTTGTGACCATGCTGTACAACTTCAAATGATAAATATGACCCACATACATTAGGGAAAAACAAGTGAATAAAAGATAAAATACCTTTACTGCCTAGTTATTTGAGATCGTTTTTTCAGTTGTAGTTATCAATCCGCATAAAAAGGCCGATTATACCGGAGCATTTAAGAGACGAAGCATTTTAAAACTGTGGCTGGAGGTAATTATTTTCGATACTTTCTTCACCATTTTTTCCTTTATACATTTTTTATCTCTTGCGAGTTCTTCTCATCAATTTTTTTTCGAAAATTTCCATTGAAGCCTGCAGATTGGCGTACTTTGTTTTCATTTTTCTCGTTATTTTAATCCTTAAGTTATTGATTGAACATTATATTTATTATGCATAAAATTATTGCACGTGAATGGTATATTTCTGTGTACTATACATGTCGTTGTATGTTTATGACTGTTAATTGTATATGTATGTCTATTTATTTGTCTATGAAGTGTACATGTTTGTGTATTTTATATTGCTATGTATTGTATGTGTCTGTGCATTTAAATATCCGTATATTCGTATGAATGCGATGGCGTTTGCGAGCTTACTTCATTGTACTTATTTTTACATGAATAAAAATCAATATTTTCATAACTTATAACATAAAATTATGCTAAAGGCAAATTTTTGAATAGCCACTTTGATCATATAAGAATTTTGTAAGATCTATCTATCTTGAAGTATGCATCGCAAATATATTTCATACTTGTATGTCCTAAATCATTATAAGTTTACTGGTGTACTTGAAAGCAGATACTTCAAATCATCGTTTATGATAAATCATAATTATGCATCTACCAGGTCATGAAATGGTGTTTTACTTTTCAATTCAGGTAGTAAAAGCCGACATGAAAGTTTATCTCTTTATTGCAACGGTGATATTCGCATTACATAGAGGTATGTTAAACTATTTATTTTGGTTTGCTTCATTTCGCTTTTATAAGTGCTTTCGATATTTAACATGGATTTAGCAAGAGATTTGGGCCATACAGATTGTCTTATGTTAATCTTTAAATCATGTTGAAATGCTACCGACCAACACATTTTGTGTCCCCTCAGACAAAATCGTTTTGAATCTTTGTAACGGAGAAACAACGAATGTCAAGGAAATGGGTTAAAAATACACTGTATGTCTTTTAGATACAGTTTTTCCCATCAAAATGTTAATTTATTTACACAGTTGAAGGTCTAACATGTTTACAGTGCAAAGGTGTTCCTAAGCCTCGGATATGCAACAAGGTCGTAGACTGCTATGCTGGTGAAGTAAGTACAACATAAAATTGAAAGATATCTGAAATGCCTTAAGTCTTCGCCGATCTATTTCATGCTTAACAAAATCAAAAGCGTAAACAAATAGACAAACAAAGAATTAACAAAATGATACCATAAACTGTGTCTTATTGTTGGTATAAGAGAAGCATCGACATGGTAAAGGTCTTGCCACGTTCAAGACATAATGGTGCATAAATATCACAGGTGCCCCCATGCATTATCTCAGGCAGGAGTGGACACCTCAGTAGTAGTAGAACCATCGACGATACATAAGTTATTTTGATAGCGCCCTCACCTATAATAATTGAAAGTCACTGATAGGATCCGAACCAACTAGGTGAAGGGCAAGTGGTTTCTTGTACTGTGCCCGGACGCCCCTTTCAATTCAAAGTTTTAAGATATAATTCTTTTACCCCATCGTTTTGATAAATTCAAAATTAAAAGTCGATGATTTAAATTTAATTAACTACATCGAAATAATAAAACATTTACTCTATGAACTTTATACTTACTTGAATAGTTTGTTAAATGTTTTTTTTTAATTATAAATAATTTATTATAGTTCTGGTTGCTTTGTTTTAGTCCTGTAGTGTAGAACAAGTGCTGAACGAGTTTGGAGAAATTGTTTACAATCTCGGTTGTCTGCCAAATACGGTAAGATATTTCTGTACAAGTTTGATAACAAAATTATTTAATATATTGTCAAGTAAGGTAAGGTTGAATTTCTTTTTAACAGTTACCTATTGCATTGCTAACATGTTCACCGTTTAATGAAAATATATATGATGAAACATATATACTTGAGATAAAAGATAAAAAAGGATATGACCGTCAATACATTTAGTGTAAAAATAATCAGAACAGCAACAGCTAAAATGCAAAAAAATAACAGCATTTCATTTTTAAAATTTGTTTTCTTTCTTTTAAAGGAAGAAACTTACCTTAACAGTTGAGTATTTTGCACCTGCTATATATGTATATCAGTTTAGATTTTGTACGGGTCTTCAATGTATTTCTAATGCCTCCTCTGGCCACGATTTTTCAAATTTAAAGCCTCGTCGCTATAAAACATTAACTATCTTTTCGCCGTTTACAGTTCACAGTTTGTTCAAACCTGCTGTTCTTACATATACAAATAAATGCATTGTCTTATAATTTATGATCTTTTAAAAAGTGTGTCTTTTCTAATGCAAATAATAGATATGCCTATGCAAATCTTGACTAGATTTGCTACGCCATTTTACTTTATACAGAAGTGTTTATGTTTTTTTGCAACTATATAGGTATGCAACAATTTCACCAATAGTATAAATGGACAGCGAGTTACATGTTCTGAATGCTGCAATTCTAAAGATCTTTGTAATTCCAAAGGCTGCAGCCAACAAGGTAACTAAAGAATTAAAACGATTTTCTGTTGATGACAGAATTAGATGAACACCTATTTGCTATACTGATGGTTAGAATTAAGATGACTCTGACAGTATTAATAATAATTATAACGCAACATGTTCAAACGGAAATGATGGCTGAATCGACACTTTGTTGAAAGTTTCTCTTTTTTTAAAAATAATTATTCTAATTTTGATGTTGACATATTTGAATCTGTACACAAAAATATCGATTTAACTTGACTATCTCCTTTTTTTTAAAGATTGTTGCGATACGATTTTAAAGTTACAATTGACAAAAGTCGATGTATTGTTTTATTATATTTCTCAAATTTTGTATGAATGATATTATTAAGGTATACATTTTTCTTGTTCAAGGTTACCCGGAGCAAAGAGGACCTATATGCTATAACTGTCCTTTACATACCGACAGTGGAAAGTGTCATAATATTGAATTCTGCTCTACTGGAGAAGTAAGTGATCTTAAACTAAATTGTGAACAGATGGACGAATGAATTAATCAATGAGTGAATGAATGACATAAGAAATGAATACGCTGCAATGCTATGCTAAAAGTTTATAATCACTGCCCGCACACCATTGTAGCTAAAATTACTTTGTCCTTTCTGTGTTTATTTTGTATATATGTGTGTGTGTGTCTGTAACTGTTTATGTATGTATGAATGATTTATTGATTTGTTTGTGTTTTGTTCACATTACCTTCCTTGAATCATGTATTTTTTCTTTTTCAATTATACGTTTTAGATGAATTCAAGTAGCCTAAATATCCTATCTTTGAATTGTAGAGGTCTTAACAGTTCAAAAAAGAGAATTGAGTTATTTAAATTTTTGAAGCAGAAAAATTGCAGTATTTACTGTTTACAAGATACACACTTAACGTTAAATATGTATAAAAATATATACTGTGAATGAAATAGTGAATGTTTCCTGAGCCAAGGGACATCCAATTCACGGGGAGTTGCAATTCTTTTTAATAAAAATATTGAATATAATATTCATAGCAAACATATTGATAACAAAGGAAACTTTATTGTTTTAGACTTAACAATTGAGGAAAAAAGATTAACCTTTATAAATCTTTACGGTTCAAATACAGATCAACCAATTTTTTACAGTGAAATGTTTGATATCATTGACAGAATAAGAAACGATTCTTATATCCTGTGTGGAGATTTTAACTTAGTTCTAGATCCTGAAAAAGATTACTACAACTATAAATTTGTAAATAATAATAAAGCTAGAAATTTTATATTACAAAATATTGATCAGCGAAATCTTGTTGATTCATTCAGAGATTTTTTTCCAAATCTGAACAGATACACTTGGCGTAAACCGACTCCACTCCAACAAGCACGCCTTGATTTTTTCCTAGTAACTGAAACAATTTTTCCTCATGTAGAAAATATTAAAATTGAGACAAGCTATCAGTCAGATCATTCAATTGTTATAATGAAGATAAAGTTTAATGACTTAAATGACGCGAAAAAGGTCTATGGAAACATAATAATTCCCTTTTAAAAGATATAGATTATTTGAATAAAATACAGACAAAAATGGTTGATATTAAAAAACAGTATGCTTTACCTATATATAACCTTGAAAATTATATATCGGAAATACCAAATGATGAAATTCAGTTTACGATAAACGATCAGTTGTTTTTAGAAACACTTTTAATGGAACTGAGAGGGACAGCTATATCTTACAGCAGTTATCTTAAGAAAAAAGAAAGAAATGATGAAAAAAGTATAATAAATGAAATACATGAAATCGAATCAAACTTGTCAGACGATTAACTTAACCGATTGCAAGAAATGCAAAATAATTTAAAAGAACTTAATAATATTCAGCTTCAAGGTTATCTTATAAGGTCAAGAGCAAAATGGACGTTAGAAGGAGAAAAACCTGCATTTTTTTGCGGTTTAGAAAAACATAGTTACATAACTAAGACTTTACATAAGATTCAAAATGATGACGGTAGTATTCTTATTGATCAAAAGTTAATATTAAAAGAAATTGAAGATTTTTATAGAACTCTTTTCAGCAAAAAGTCGTCATATGATGCAAATGATAAATTTTTACAATATGTGGAAAATATAGAAGCACCGGTTTTAAGTGAATCGGAATCCAATGTATTAGAAGTCTATATAAGTTATGAAGAAGCTAGTAAAGTTTTACAAAATATGGCAAATAATTAAAGCCCGGGGACATCAGGCTTTAGTGAAGATTTTTATAAGGTATTCTGGAAAAATTTAGGTCCTTTTGTGGTAAGATCTATCAATGATGCTTATACTTCAAATAAATTGTCAGTGACCCAAACACAAGGTGTAATAACATGTATTCCAAAAGAAAATAAACCTAAACAATTCGTGAAAAATTGGAGACCTATAACACTTCTAAATACCGTATACAAAATTGCTGCAGGTTGCATAGCGAATCGAATAAAACTTACTCTAGATAAACTAATAAATAAAGATCAAACAGGTTTCATCAAAGGAAGATATATTGGAGAAAATACCCGTCTTATCTATGATATCATGCAGTATACTGAAGAAAATAACATTCCTGGACTTTTCCTTTTAAAAGATTTTGCAAAAAGCTTTTGATTCAATCTCTCGGTCATTTGTACAGAATACTCTGTCTTTTTTAACTTTGGTCCGTCTATAAAAAAATGGTTTGATATTTTATATAAAGATGCAACTTCTGCTGTTAATCAATGTGGGTTTTTATCAAATTTTATAAAAATAGGTAGAGGCTGCCGACACGGAGATCCTCTTTCATGTTATATTTTTATATTATGTGCTGAAGTTCTAGCTTTAAAAATAAGAAATGATAAGAGTATTAAAGGAATAAACATTAACAATGTAGAACATAAATTGCCACAATTTGCAGACACAACAATGATTTTAGATGGATCAAGTGCGTCTTAAAATAAATCTTTGGAAATCTTGTCAGATTTTGCACAACTATCGGGACTTAATGTTAATTTTGATAAAACTAAGGTTGTGTGGATAGGAAAAATGAAATATTCTCAAAACAGTATAAAAACAAGATGGAAATTGTCTTGGAATCAACATAAATTTAAAATGTTAGGCATACATTTTCATGTTGACTTAAGTAAAATAATAGATTTAAACTATAGCGAAAGAATAGAAAATATTCAAAAGGTTATTCAAAATTGGAAAAGAAGAATTCTCACACCAATAGGTAAAATTGCTGTCATTAAATCTCTTTTGATTTCATCTCTAAATCATTTATTCATTTCACTATCAAACCCTTCTGAAGATGTAATCAGTGTATTAAAAAAAATGTTTTATGACTTTATTTGGCAAGGAAATATAAAAATTAAGACTTCCGTTATGGTAAAAACCTATGATGAGGGCGGCTTGCAGATGATAAATATTTCTGCCTTTATCATGTCATTGAAAATAACATGGTTTAAAAGAATAATCTCAAATGCTAGTTGGAAAAGTATTCTTTACGACAAAATAGATATGAAAAAGTTTTTTCACTGCGGAAACCATTATTTTGATAAACTTGCAAAAGAAACAAACAATCTTTTTTGGAAGGACATTTTTACAGCATTTTCACACTATATTGAATTAATTCCAATCGAAAATCAGTCTTTTGGAAAACATCCTTTATTTTATAACAATAACATATTAATTGGTTCAAAAAGCGTATATTTAAAATCGTGGTTCAATGCTGGAGTTTATAACATAGAACACCTAATATCTGATGGAAAGTTTTTATCTTTTAATGAATTTATTAATAGATACAATGTCCAATCTAATATCTTAATTTTCAACGGTATGATTTTATCAGTAAAGCAATTTGTAAATAAATATAATATAATCTATAACATCCCACAGAAAAGCATTGGCCCAAACATACCGCTATACTTTAAAGGTATAATATCAGACATAAATGGAGCAAAACCTTTCTATGATATATATATAAAAACAAATCAAAGCCAACAAGTATCGAAACATGGACAAACAACCTTAATTTAGCTTTTAGTGAAAATGAATGGAAAATTATATTCGGAATGCCTTTTAGAATTACAAAATCTGCCAAGTTGCAATGGTTCCAAACAAAATATTTACACAGAATTATTGGAACCAATCATCTTTTATACAAAATTAAGTATAAAGAAAGTCCTTTATGTTCTTTTTGTAGTAATGATGTTGAAAGCATTGAGCATCTATTTTGGCTGTGTCCCATTGTCAAAAAATTTATTAATGAATTTCTTAAATTAAATGAAGCACCTTTTTTATCTTTGGGTATAAAAGAAATGATGTTTGGCTATAATGCAAAGGATGATTTATCTAACGCAAAAAACTTATTTTTAGTATACTTTAAAATGTATATTTATCAGTGTAAAATGCTTGATCTTTCTTTATCAATGATTACAGCCAAAAACTTTATAACACAAAAACTCAAGACTGATAAAGAGGTAGCAATCATAAATAATAGATTACCGAAGTTTGAAAATGTTTGGAGTCTTTTTAGAATTTTTTTTTTATTTTATGTCAGCTGAGGAAATATTATTTCTACACTGAAAAATACTGTTTTTGAGTTTAAGTAATTAAGAAATAATTCATTCAAGCCAAAATAGCATGCTTTAGATTTTATATAATGTTGATGCTTTTGAAACTATTCCTTAAAAAAAATACGGTTATGAGTGCGAGTGTGAATGCATGTGTCGTCCTTGTCTCTTTGTGTTTTTTTTGTTGTTGTTATTTGTGTGTGTGTGTGTTTTCTTTTCTTTTTGATTCTTTTTTGTAATTGTTGTTTTTTCTTTCATTACATTGGTTTCACATCTGGTATAACCGTTCATATGTATGAAAATAAATAATTGTAAAACCACTGTGGGATGTGCTTCGACCCACAAATGGTTATGTGACGAAGCGAATAAATGGGGTTACCCCATGTGGGGCCTGAAAAACAAATACTTTCTGTATCCATTGTATGAATGAATTTGGTCTTATACTTTTGTATTAAACGTGTGAAGACACACACACGCACGCACACATAAACACACATACACACGTCTGTTAAAAAGAAAATGGTTCCGGTTTCGAGTAATTATCGCACACAAGGTAATACGCGGCAGTTTAAAATCACACGGTTATGAAAAGTACCTCGGAAATAATCAAATGTGTCCTACAATGGCTCCAATATAATTGAATCATCCACCTTTGTTCCAAAACAAAAGCATTATTATATTATTATATTATTCGTACATTTTGTGAGAATTTTTTAGAGGAAAAAAATCCTTTTTCATGTATGGCTTTGTATTATATAACTTTCAATTGGTGTATAATTTTCAGGTGTGTAATATTGTTGGGAAGAATATGTTCTCAGAGACTGTGTATACAAGTAGCTGTATATCTAAACACGTGAGACTTTTGTCATTAATTATCGATAATATTTACATTATCTATAAAAATACTTGCCATTTTGCAATTTCATTTGCCATAATGACATAATGAAAATTAGGTTTCTGACAAGAAAAATCATGGAATTTATATATATTCCGTAACAAAATTGTAACATACTCATACTATAATTTCCTGTCTGATATCGAAATCTTCATTTACATTTTTGTTTAACTATTGACACTTTAGTAAGCAAAGGGTCTCACACTAGACTGCGCGTTCACTGCGTTTGCACGGCGTTGTTAGATTTAAAGACCTTGTCACACTAGACTGCGCATTTACTGCGTTTGCACGTGAACAGCGTTGTTAAATTTAACAAAGCGCCGCGAGATCACAAGAAAACATATTTTTGATGACATGAAGACTTCATGACGTGTTCAAGATGTCCGCACGGCGATTATGACGTTGCTACGGAGCTTCCATGGCGTTGCAATGCGGCTTTAAGGCGTATTTATTGGCGATTGTCTGCGTTTACTGTGGTTCTACTGTGTTCTTTGCGCTTACACTGCGCTTTCACAGCGCTCACACGGCGCTCTCGCTGCGCTCACACTGCGCTGAAATTGTATTTCATATACCAACGATTACTCATTCTGAATATTCATGTACATGCTGCACTTGCATGCAAGCAAGCAGTATTCTGGCTTGTTGCCGTTCATAATCCATGGTCTAAAGGACATTTACTTGCAAACACGTTCTATATATACAGTAAACCCTCTATTAAGCCCGCCAAAGGGACTCAAGTGGTCTTAATAGCGGATGGTCTTAATTGTGGATATAATTATCAAGACATAAATATATTTCATTACCACTCTATTTGAATTATCATGTATAAACATATCTAAACAATTATATTATAACCTTCAAATGTTATTATAATCTGATGTTATAATAATAAGAAGACCATTAGATTGAAGATATTTAATAGATAGATTAAATTTTCATAGGTCTTGTTTAATGGACATAATTCACGTATTAATTTAGAAATTATTTCTCCACAAAATACATGTGCAGAAAGTAACATTAAACCAATCTGAAATTTATTTTCTCACCTTTATACAATTTTCCAGTCGCAACAGTTTTAACACATTGCTTCATCAAGTGCCATGCGTTTGAGAATTCAAGCAGATGAATAACGTTAAATTTGTTATCTGAATGGGTATTGACTGGAATATTAGTGGTCTCAAAAGTGGGGTTAGATAAATAAAACAATGAATTTGGGCTGAAACCGGTGGTATTTAAAGTTGATAAGTGGGATGGTCTTAATTGTAGGGCATGTTATCATTAACATAAATAACAGACGATTCTGTTCTTTTAAATACTGGTCTAAATAGATGGTTGGTTTTAATTCCGGGATGGTCTAAAGTAGGGATTTTACTGTACCGTATTCACCAATTTCAGATGAACGCAGAAGAATCGCATTGAGTGCGCAATGGTCGCCGTGAAAGTGCTGTAAAGTCGCAGTAAGAGCGTTTTAAAAAGATAAAGGTCCGTAAAAGCGCCATACACACGCAGATAAAGCGCGATAGAGACGCCGCACTATCTCCGTACAAGCGCCGTAGCTAATTACGGCTTTCGTTGAGCGATCCTTCTGTGTATTCGAGGTGCTCCTGTTGCGTTGTAGGAGATGCTTCTGAGTTGCTACGGCGTCCTCACTGCGATCCAACTACGCTCTTATCAGAACGCCGAGTGACGGGGTTCGTTTTGAGCATGCTCAAAACGCGCGCCGTCGGTCGGCGTTTCTATGCCACTGCGATGCTGTCGCGATGCTGCGGCGATGTTTGCGATCTTACTGCGCTCACCTCGGCGTTCTGAATTTTCTTTGGACGCCGTGAGAACGCCGCCTAGAGACACATGGGTTAGACAAAGCGCTGCGAGATCACAATCAAACATGTGATATTTTTGATGACATACCTACTTAACGCCGTCTTCACGGTGTCCTCAAGGCAATCATGGCGATGCTACGGAGCTTCAACGTTGTTGACACATGTTATTACGGCGTTTTAATGTTTGCGATTGTTTGAGTTTGGACTGCGCTTCTACTGCGTTCTTTGCGCTTCCAAAGCGCTGTCACGCCGCTCATACGACACTCGCGCAGCCCTCACACTGCGCTGAAACCGTAAAGTTCCGTAAAAGCGCTGCCCACATGCAGTATAAGTGCGGCAGAGACGCCGCACAATCTCCGTACAAGCACCGTAGATATCAACCGCGTTTTTCCGGCGTTTCGTTTGTGCTTTCATGGCGCTCTTGCTGATTTGTAGGAGATGCAACTGAGGCGTCCTTACTGCGATCCCACTGCGTATTTATCAGGACGTCGAGTGACGGCGTGTGTTTTAAGCATGCTCAAAATGCGTGCCGTCTGTCGGCGTTCTATGCGATGCCACTGTTGTGGAGAAGCTGCGGAAATTTGCGATCTCACTGCGCTCACCTCGGCGTTCTGAAGTTTCTTTTGGACGCCGTGAGAACGCCGCCCTAGTGTGATAGGGGTTTAAACAAGATTATTAAATATTTCAATCAAGGTAAGAAAGAGGACGTTTTAAATTCGTTAAATAAAGCTTTTGCATGTTTTATTCATCTGCTTGTTTCATTTTGAAACATAATTATTCCCATTGCAATAACTTTCTTGTCATCATTTCATCATCATCATCATCATCATCATCATCATCATCATCATCGTCATCACTAGCAGCAGCAGCAACAGCAGCAGTAGCAACATCGTCTTTCTTTCTAGGCTTGTAAACCAATGGAAGGTAGCCACGTGGCTATCATTGGTAAACGTGACGTCAGCATGGACAAAAGAAGTCACGAGCAACACATATGCGATTCTTGTTGTTCAGAAGATCTGTGCAATAAAAATTGCACCACAGCTCAGCTGTCTATAGGTATAATTGACCATTTCTTTTTAAGATTGCAAAAACGTATAATGTGCAATAAGTCATTTTTCCTTAAATTTTATTGACAGCCCAGATGTCTATATATGTACACATAAAGAAGTGTCTTTTGTGAAAAAGTATATGGGGATAAAGTGCAGTTCGGCAGAAAGTCACCTAATTATGCTTTTATCGATGCTGAAATTATTTTAAATTCGTCTTAAGAAATAATAAGTTTTAAAAACATGAGATTTACGTTAAACATGAACAACAACATAATAAAAATGCATTTAAAAATCAGAAATATTTTGTTTTTATAGAAATCACATCTGAAAGTTAATTACTTATCATTATGAGTTTGGTAAGTTTGTAATGAACTTATTTTAGATCAAGTAGCATTTATTTTTATTTGTGCGGGGGCATTGCAATTTAATTTCAATTTATATTTTGTCTGTTCCAGCCTTTCGTAATATCAAAGCACTGAGCGTGCTATTTTCTTATTTGTTATTCTATAGATCCATGTCAGTCAAATCCTTGTAACCATGGTACTTGCAAATCTGACGGTCATAACTTCAGATGTGAATGTGCTGCAGGCTTCACCGGAATTATATGCGACACAGGTGATATCGTTTTAAATAGACAAACTTGTGTGCTGGAAAATACAATACATTCACTTTTTGTTTTAGATAATCTTTTTTTATTTAATATGATACTAACTATAACATCAATCTCATAAAAATAAAAAAAAGTAAAAAAATATGATTAATCAATATGAAAGTCAATTTAATTTAATATCTTATACATTTTATTACTGAACTAATTGGATATTTAAAAGGTTATCTCGTTGTCCTTTTCGAACAAATATATAATAAACTGCTACATTTATATTCCAATGTATTTTCAGAAAATACATGATCATATTTATATATTTTATTTCTTTTTTAACTTTGATATGTACAAAAATAATATTCATATTGATTATTGTTAATTTCTGTCACATTTTCGCTCAGCAAACATAAACAGTAAATATTGTCCAACCCTAGATAAAAAACAGATATACATGATAAACCAGTTCGGCAGTCACTCTGGGATTATTAAGTATCAAATACAAATTATAAAACAATAAATTATCAAAAACAATTACGTGTATTAATGTTTTACGGTTGTGTCTCAGTGATTATTTCAATTGTTTAATTCATTTTTATGAAGTATGTAACACACCATAACATGATTGTATTGTCATGTTTTTGTGTATTCAAGACATCGATGAATGTGTATCAACTCCATGTGTACATGGAACCTGTACTGACCGAGTTAATGGTTACGTTTGTGCCTGTAATCAAGGATACAATGGAAACAATTGTCAACACGGAATGTACTCCAATGAGTTCTTCCGATTTCTTTACTGCTTCATTTAACATGATAATTGTTTGAAAAGTTTAGTACCGCCGCTTTATCAGGTGGTACATCGGCATCATTTTTCAAATTGTTTATAAGGATTTATCTTTTCAACTTCGTTATCGCAACAGATTAGAACATTCTCTTGGCACTAATGTTTTCTCCCTTTTTGTATGTATACCATCTATTAAATGTAAGAAAACCTCACGTGAAAATTTGTTGTTTGATGAAATGGATGATTTTTATATTGTCCATATTGTTAATGTTTGTGGAATATTTGATTTGAACTTTTAATTGTTTTATTGATCGCTTATTTACCAGAGGGTTTTCTAAGAAATTACTATATTATTAATAAATATAATTATTATTATTTCTTATTAGTATTATAATAATTATACATGTTTCCAAATCTGTGAGTATAAAAATAATTATTGTCGATGGTATAATTTTCTTTATATTTATTTTTATTTTTATTATTATTAATTTATTATTTTTACTATTATTATTATAGAAACGGCTAAAGCCGTCCATATGGCAAATACGCCGAAAATAACAGGGACGGCATAAGCCGTCCCTATGGAAGTAAAAGGGTTAATGCCTGTAGATATATAATTTGTCCAAAGTGAAATTTACGCTGATTGCTTCCGTTAAGAAGAAACATCTATATGTTTCAAATGTTATACTGATATAATGGTTTTTAATAACAATGTTCAAGATAAAATATATAAATATACTTGAGTATTGAATGACTGTCCTACTCTGTATATTAATTGAACATTACTGATAAATTATTATCATTATACCTTAAGTCACAGGGGCTTTTTGCTATAAATAGGAAGTAAAATGTTAAATTGAAAACGAATTTAACAAAATATGAAGTGTTTTGCTTTTACCTATGCACTTACCATTAACACATGTATAGGCATAATGTCACTTCTTTGCTTTTGAAAAAATTGTTTATTAAACAAATACATTATTTAATATTTTATTAAGATAAAATTTGAAACTTTGATAAAACAATTAAACAAGTAAGATCGCAATAAACAGAACAGACAGCAGCCTTCAATAATGAGCACAGCTTGGAAACTATGACGTTTGAGACAGACGTCAAAAAACAAACGTAACATCATGCATCATTTTCTACGGGAGGATTAATTACAATTAGTGAAAATATCCAATAAATTAAAGATCAATTTGAAGAAATTACAAGATGCCACATACACAATAGTCTTGCCAAAACGAACAAATTATCTTGTATGATTGAACAAGTATGAACGCAATATTTCTTTCTTTCAGACATAGATGAATGTTTATCAAATCCATGTATACATGGAACATGTAGTGATCGAGTGAATGGTTATGTTTGTGTCTGTACTCAAGGGTACAGTGGAAACAATTGCCAGCATAGTATGTATGATTTTTATTGTCCCGCCGAAGACGAATGCATACGAATTTAGCGTTGTCCGTTGGGACGTCCGTCCGTCCGTCCGTCCGCATGTACTCAGGTGCACAACTTATTGCATGAATGTCTGTTTCCTTTGTCCGTACAAACAGTTTTCTTAAGGAATGAATAGCCTATTGGATGTAAAGAGGTTGCGAGATCAAAGAAGATGAAACAAATAACCCAAGCAGAAGTCCGTCTATCTATATTTCTTATTTTGGTGCATTATTTAAGGTATCGGCTTTACCAATCAAACACTTTAGAGATAGATAGTTCTAATCTACGGAAAGTATATAGACCATGAAGTATTTCTTTAAATGTCATCAACTGATAGATCACATAAGGGCATATTGTTTATGTGCATCGATTTTCTTTGCATGTTTTTGCCCTGGTAATTTTTGTCTAAAGCAAAATAAAAAAGTAAATGGAAAGCATTGATTAATATTATAAAGGCAAACACATTTTTTTAAACAGTTACTCTTTTAAATGTGCTTTTTGAGTTACTGCTACCTGTAATATATTACTTTTAATTTTACTCGGTACGAAAGCTGAAAACGTTTTGGAGACATCAACTTGAAACTGCTTTGATTAATCGATATAATAACGAAAAAAAAAAAAAAAAAAAAAAACAAAATGTCTAAAAACAATAAGTTTTTTTTAAATAAGCACTGAGTACCCTTTGTTTACCATCTGCCAGTTTTTTATGTATTTAATTTGTAATTTTTCTTGACCAATGTACATCTAGAGACTATTTAAATGTCAATACGATTTACCAAGAAGTAACTGCTGTAGATGTTTCCTTAAACTGATAATTCCAAGAAAAATGATTGATTCGTGATGATATTCTCCTTACAATCATCATATTATCATTAGGTAATATTGACATTTTTATCGTAGAAGTCCATATAAAATCTTGTGAAAAGATTTGTAGAGTAAACTTTTTTTACAGATGTAAAGTAAGTAAAACAAGTCATTTTTAGATAGCAATAACATCTGAGAAAGAGATGATAACCGAACGCATAATCCACAACAAAATTATATGAAAATTGCAGATTCAGTTTGATGGATTCTTTAAATGAGAAATAATAAGAAAGTGATACATCCCTCATGCTCCTAGCACCGACTTGAGCGGTACTCAATTGTCAACACTTAAAATTGCTGAAATCAATGATCATGAAGGAACCAACAAAATATAACAACACTTGCGTGAAGTATGGGGCAACCTTTTTACAGCTGCTATACACCACTTGACATCGTCTGTTACAGCCACACTAAAACATAATAGCAAGTTTCAAGCACAGTTTCTTATAGCGTACATATACCTGACAAGATATAAAAGTGTATATGCACAGAGCGAGAAAGGATATTCAATTTCATGATCAACTATTTTACTTTTATTTTTTGTTCTCTCTACATAACAGATGCTTAATCGGTTGATTTCAGAATACATGATAGTATATGGAATTATCGGTTCATGTTTACGGATGTCTTGGCCGCGAAACTATTTGCGTTGCATGAAAGTAACTTATTGAGTTCGCGCGGCTTCCTATCTAGAAACTGCTCGTTTCACATACTTTACATATATTAACATTTTACGCTACAGATATTCCTATAAGATTTTGTATGAACTTCTTTGCAAAAAAAAAAATGTTGATATTTTGTGTTTTGTTTTGTTTTGTTTCTTGCTCATTCTTATTAATTACAATTTCTAATGTGATTTACTACATATATAACATATTCAAAAAACTATAACACGTAGGAGAACAGACGTCTTATTTTTATTTGAAGAAAGTTACGGTACATATGATAGGTAAGGTCTTGTTTTGATATAAAACTATTTGTAAATTGCATATGTTAAAAATGAACTTACCAAGATTCAGCAGTCGCCATACTCGTTTGTTTAACTATATTATGTCACGTAATTCCCCCCATTATTTTTGGTTTTACTGGATACAATGGATGTGGCGTTTCAGCATGAACATTTCCATTACGACTTTAAGTAAATTAACATACCTGTGTATTGTAGTCTCTACAGACTGTGCTGATATTCTTCATAATGGAGATAATAAAGGCGACGGAATTTATACAATTATTACATGGAAAACTCATGAAACTATTGACGTCTATTGTGACATGACTACAGATGGTGGCGGTTGGACGGTCAGTGGTTTTCGACATATTGTGTTATATTTGAAGATTTTCAGTTCACACATAAATAATTTCCTTACACAACTGTTTATTTAAAATGTAGAATAAATTTAACAATATATGCCTTCTTCTGTCCATTCGGTTTAAGTTATATGTTATTCATAAACATCATTTTGTGTACTATTTAATTTAAGTAATTAAGCTTTATTATTATGTATTTAAATGATCTCAGGATACTTAGGATACTCATAAGGATACATTAAGTCAGAGATATTTTTATCAATCTCTTTATCAGGTTTTTCAGAACAGGTTTAATTATTCAGTAGAATTCAACAGGAACTTCTCTCAGTACGAAAATGGTTTCGGAAATTTACACACAGAGTTTTGGCTTGGTAAGTGTTTGCAAGGATGACGTGTGATAATTCAAAAATGTTAAAACATTGAAAAGAATATAAGGTCTCTACATCAAGAAATAAAAGGGTTTCATAAAAAAGCTTACTTGACTACTTCCAGTATTGATTAAAAATGCTTTTTTCAAACGAATTAATGACTCAAAATAATTTTACATACGTAAATATGCACCACATATAATAGGTATATAATAAATATGTTGAACTTACATATGGTATTACCAAGAATAGCACATCGCATGTTTTGGATGTGTTTAACATATGGCTACACGTGCGTACCCAAATGTTTTTCATATATATGTTTTACATATGGTAAGTACTTGTGTTTCATGCGATTAAGAGTTATATGAAAATCTATCGTATAGACAAATGTGTTAAGTTTACCATATTTCTGATCTGTTAACAGAGTGATTATTACATGTTTTTAACGATTTCATGTAAAAATCGTTATAATATAACTGTTAAAACACATGTTTATATCAGAATCTTAAAATGACATTCGATGCTGTTTACTAGTCGCTGATATTCTTTTTGATGAATAGGTATTTAATCATATCAAGGGAATGACTTTGAAAATACCAATACAAATTTTAAGTGAAAAATGACAAGACATCTCAAATGAAACTGCTAGTGAAAACAGATTTACAAATAATTTTCATGTTACAGACCAAATTTATATAGATCTAAAGACCTTTCTGTATAATTTTTAAAATACCTATTAATTTCATAATGATCACCACCAGAGTATTAGGTCACTCTGGTGTCTGAACAAAAAAAAATCCGCTGAACTACAAATAAATTTAGACCGTCTATGTGCGTAATACACAATCTGTAAATTGTATATATGGCTTACCATGAAAGTCATAGAAGAATATGATTTCAAAGTTTAAAAAATTAATATGGGTACCCTATCGTTTCCGTCGCCATTCGAAGCGTTGTTTAATTTTAGATACGCGGTGGAAGGCTATGTGCTATATTCGTTTGACTTATTTGTCATATATCACATTATTATCGAAATGTCGCAAATTGAGCTGAAGGCGTAGCAAAGCAATAGGTCCCATAAATTGCGGTGTAGCCAAATAACCTGCCTACAAGTTTATCATGTAAGTACACCGGACATATATTTTTAAGAAGTGACCTTATGTGCGTATTAACTTCAAACTGGTGTCAACTACAGCTAGTTGCACATTCTCTAAATTAATACCATGCCCGGCAAAACTGAATTTGATTTACTGTTAGATAATGACTAATTTAACAAAAATCTTATTTTTGAAGGGGCTTCACATAGAGACCAATAAAGATGTTAAGTAGCATATTAACTTACCGTTGATGCGCAGCAATTAAATGGAACAAAGAAAGAGAAAAACGACAAAAATGACCCTTGACCGTTGCAAGGTATCTTTTTAAAAATCCAGATTAAATGTTAAAATGCCACATAATATTGATAGTTGAAGTAAACTTTATTACCAATATGCAATAAAACCAAACCAGAGTTGAATTTTGCGGTTTTAAATGCATTTTTCTAAGAAATTAAACTTTATTCTTACATAAAAACATAAAAAATATTCGTTAGGTAACTGATGTCCAAATGTAATCTCTAAGTTTGTTTTTTTCAGGCCGATTTGAAAAAAAAAAAACGATTTCGTCGACGGACATTAAAGAAATGCCATATCCAAAAATACAACGTGAAACAGAAATAATTCTTGACATTGATAGTTTCATTATTTCGTAGTGATGGACTTATGATTGCAAAGTTTTATTTGCATGTTAGCAGAGAAAAAATGACTAACATACACTACATCTACTTTGCAGCTTGTATTCAGCGTTTTTATTGCAAGGAGAAGTCTATACACGTACATTTCTTTTGCTGACTTCCGGAAAACATAGGATTTACATGTGATGCAACTTACTAGCGACAGAAAAGTGCTAATGCTGTAACGGCTCGAAATAATTCAAATTGTAGGAAAGTGGAGTTCATTTCATATTCAACAGTCAAAGGACTAAGCAATATAGTTTCTTTTTCAATGGTAACATTTTCGGCGATAAACAAATTTGACTGTTGGTTGAAATGTTTGTTTGATGCTTTGATACGGCTAATAAACGCAGATTTGTAAAATTTATTTCCAGGATAAGAAATAATTCACAGAGTGGACTAATGTAGTAAAATATAACGGGAATTATGTACCTTTTGTACATAACGACGGCGAGTTAAGTGGAGACTACAATATTTATAGGCTATATGAAGCATCCTAATGGAGGCACTTTTATCGCAAAACTGTAGAAAGTGTTAAATTCATTGCAAGCAATACACCACAAAAAGACCTTACATCTATGACAAAAACTGTTTTTGCACAAGACTATTGCGAATGCTAGCCAAAATATTAATAACAATTACAAACGAGTAACTATACACGCAGGTTGTCGACAAAACTGTTATGAGCAGATCAGAACATATTTCTTTGCCGATATCGACAAACGAAGAGAGCTCGAGCAATAATAACAGAGAACTTTAATCGGAAAAGTCAACAGAAGTTGTTCCAGAAGTCAAAACATTTTATCAAATGAAAAAAAAAATACTGAGATATTTCTGAAAATACGAACTTACATTCATTGTTTGATTGTGCTTTTTCTCCCGACACCCTTATCATGCAGTTAAAAAGTGATCATTTAGATAGTTTGTTTGAAAAAAGTTAAAATTTAATAGCGGACAGACAAATTTCTATTTCAACCGACTTGTTGTTCTTATTTTTAAATAAATTTCTATTATATATTCATCGCTGTATTTTACTCTATTCCTGTTTTGTTTCAAGATTATAATGTCTGTACGTCATTCCAGTTAATTTGCATAAATCCACCTTCAAACCACATATCAGTTGCTGCTCATATCACTTAATAAGCCACTTATTTCACGTAAAAATATTTTAAAGAATTTTCTTTTCAAATTTGAATTGAAATCGGTTATTCTGATTGAAGAAGGAACTGGGACAAAACGTAAGCTATCTTATCAATCTCAACACTACACTTTTTTTTCAAAATGAACATAAATTTACGACGAAATATCAACATAATTTTATAGATCTGCTTTAATTTTTATTACATTCAAACGGATTAAATTCACAATCATTATAAAATGCCACTGTTTGCTATTTAATGATTTTTCATCATGTCTCTTATATATATTAATATTAAGAAAGATCAGTATTTAAGTAAAAGTAACTAAGAGAACAATGGAAGTTTTGTTAATTGTGAGACGAACCCTTAATGACGTCAAAATGAACGGGAAAATATAAGATTTTAACATTATAACCATATAATTAACTTTTTTTGAAAAAGAAAACTAAGTCAAGTCTGATTTAGATGATTATACTCTTACAATTGATATGAAATTAAATACTCAAATTTTGCCGCACAGACTTTACTTTTACCTTACATACAAGCACCAATTGTAATTTGTCAATTATCGTAATATTTCTGTGTCCCAAATTATTGTTTATGAATCAACGATTCTAATAGGTGTTAAGCAATTATTCAAATAAATAACAAGAAATTGTTGTTTTATTTGAAAATTGATTGAAAAAGAATTGTCAGCAAAAAATGTATGTTTATCTCTTGTTTCGATCATCAATGTAATTGTCATTATTATATGAGTGTAATTATAATCCTTTTTATGAAGCATTGACTGCGATAAAAGCAATCTGGGCAAAATCGAAAAAAATGACCATTCCTTTATCATAATTGAACCATTCGTCGGGTATTAACAACTTTTAAACCAAAGTTTTATCTTTAAATATCTGCAGGGTCAATTGTTAATAAATGACCAATGAAAAATGACCAAGGGGTCGGCCATTTTTGGGGGTTCAAAAATTATATTAATACCCTTACCTTTCATTATTTTACCCTTTTTTGCGTTCCCATCAATAAAAACCGTACTTAGTCTAATACTATTATCTGTTATTAATACAGGTCTCAAATACATTGAAGAAATAGCAAATCAAGGACTTTCTGATCTACGAATTGATGTAGAGGCGCAAGATGGGGCAACAGCTTATGAAACATTTGACCGTTTCTCACTTTCATCAGGGCCAGCATATACTCTTCATTTAGGATCTACTATTGCCAGCCTTAATAGTAAGTACATAAAATTTTGCTTTCTGATGTAAATAATGCAGGTAATTTTGCTAAAGATGGCTTATTTCCTTTTCAATAGCACTAATATGCCAGTTTAATTAATGACATTAAAATATTTTATTAATTTCAGACAACGCTCATTGGTAATGAACAATAAACAAAGATTATTGTAATAATTTTATTATACTAAATTTCAAGAAAAATTGTTTATTTGTATATATCTTTTTTATTGAATACTTTCATAACCCATATTTTATTACCCATAAAAATATTTGATATAGTATCAGCTTCATAAATAAACACTTTAATTTTAAATGTTCCGTTTCATGGTTACGAAATATTTGTATAACTTGTTTCTCATTGAGTTTTTTGGACCGAAGGCCGTCTGTTTTCAGTTGAAAATCTTGTAAAAATTTACATAGGAGAACTGAATGTTTAAATTTCATTGATTATTTTAAAATTAAAATCTGAAATCTTAGTATCTAATTGGCCATTGTAAAATTAGTTAAATAACATAAAGAAATTTTCTGAAATGGTAAACGTGTCTAATTGTTAATTTATTTAAATGAGTTTTGGAAACAAACTCTCTACATTCATAAGTTCTTTTACTATCAAGTTAAATGTCCAATAAATAGGTTCTGCTTAACTATGACTTCTCCACATTTTAAACTCTATATTACCATGCATCCTACTACAGATCATTTTACGCTGCTTTAATAAGTTATAAATTTTATCAAAAAGTAAGGAAACCACCATTTACAATTAAGTTCACGATCCCATTTACTCAAGCGCATAAAATTAGCAAAAAACACTTAAGTTAGTAGTAACTGTTATTAATGAGAAATTGATACACAATATATAATTTTCCTATATTGATCATATTAATGAAGGCTTCATAAAAACTGCTAACGATTGTATGGTTTGTTTATTATCAATGCTTGTCAAATTAATTTTGTGTCGCCTTGAAAAAAGGCATATAGGGGTAACTTTTGTCGGCGGTGTCGAGGCGGCGTCGTTGTTAGCGTCCCCTTAGGTTGGTCCGGAGAAACTCAGTCAGTATAAGTCGAATTGACTTCAAACTTGGTATGTATGCTCCTTCAACGACCTAAAGTACAGTGCACAACAATCGTTAGTCTGCACTTCCTTTTTTCTGTAGTTATTGTTCATTTTCATACTTTATTTTTGTCCGGGCCATTTCTCCGCTATTGAATTGAATCTTCAAATGATGATAGATCTCATTAAGAAGAAGTGCAGTGAACAATAACAGGTACTCTGTACTTCATGATGTTTGAGTTATTGACCTTTGTAAACTTTTGTCCTTTACGCCTGTCCAGAGCATAATTCAGTCACTATAAGTTAGATTGACTCCAAACGTGGTATACATGTTTCTTTCAATGACCAGAAGTGCAGTGCACAAGAATCGTTACTCTGCACTTCTCTTTTTTAGTAATTGCCTTTTGTTAATGTTCATACTTTACTTTTTCTCCTAAACTACAAAAGCTTTGGACTTGAAACTTCATCGGATGATAGATCTCATTGAGAACAATCACCGTTCACAAGAACAAGTACTCTATACTTTGTGATTTTTGAGTACATCCCTTTGTTAATTTTCATACTTCATTTCTGTCTGGACCAATTCTCCTACACTTTAAAAGCTATTCCGTCGAATCTTTATAGGATCTCTTTCAGAAGAAGTGCAGAAGAAGTACCCTGTACTTCATAAGTTTTGAGTTATTGACCTTTGTTAATTTTCATGTTTAGTTGGCTTGTCCGGAGCATAACTTGTTCATTATGAGTTTGAGTGACTTCAAATTTGGTATCAAAGCATTTTTATCGACCTTGCGTACAGTGCACAAAAAATGTTACTCTGCACCTTTTTTGAATTATTGTATTTTGTTTATCTTCATACTTCATTTCTGCCCAAGTCATTTCTCCTATGTTTTAAAAGCGGTGGACTTGAAACTTTATAGGATGATAGAGTACATGTACATTGTAAGAGCAGTTTTTAAAGAATAACTTCTTTTAAAAAAGGAAAATGCCTGGCAGCTTAAATGTTGTAAAGGCTTCACACCCGATTCGCGCAGGACTAGTTAGATTAGAAAGCTTACTTTCTGTTCTTTTTATGCCCCCACAATGTGGGTGCATATAGCGTTGCACTTGTCCGTCCGTCTGTCCGTCAGTCCGTACGTCCCGAAATCTTGTGAACGCAACTCCTCTTAAACCGTATGGCAGATTTTGCTTAAACTTACAGGGATGAACAACCTTAATGTGCAGATGGTAGTAAAGGAAGGAATTTTTGCTGCGACCAAATTTAATAGAATTATGGCCCTTTGTTGATTTTTAGTTTTCAACTTGTGGCACATGTAGTCCAAAAAATATTTGACCTAGAGTCATAAGATTGACAAAACAGTGGCGTGTGGGGGCATCCGTTTCCTATGGACACATTTCTAGTTTTGGATTTATCGTTTCTTTCGTTAGGTGTTGCTAATACGTTGATTCGTGTATTTCGTATCGACAAATGTTGCCATTTACTTAGTATAAACCTTCTTTAAATAGTCCGATTTGATTGAACTACTAAAATATTTAAAACATCGTTCAGACTATTAAAAATAAAATAATTACATGACGGTAAATATGAAATGAAACGGAAACATAAATGAGTACGAAATAAATTGTTTGTTTGTACTTCTTATCGGCATTTTTGTTTAGGTAATGAAAGAGCGAATAAATCTGCGCCTAACTTCATACTCAAATAATACTTTTTACTGTAACTTCGTCATTTCTGAAAGGATCTATTTTGAACTTAGAATGGTTGTTACTTATCATTACCCACATCAATTGTTATACATTCATTTACTACAATGAATATATCCGGAATAATCACACTCATTCCTGGAAGTTAGTATTATTTTTTAAAATTGTTGTTTTGTTATTATTACTTCTTTACTTTTACATGATTTACTTCAGACTTTAAATTTTGTTTCTATTTAAAATATTTCGAATGTGATTCTTTCATTATTATTGCTTACGAGTGCATTCGACATCAATATTTTAACGTAAATGTCAATGATAAGGTCAGTTTTAGCATCCTTATCCTTATATTTCCATGTTTTCTAAGATATACAAATAAACCAAATCTAATTTGGCCGAGTATTTGTTTTAAAGATACTTTTTGTTATGACTGTGTATGCACCAAAATTAAATTTTGTATGCTCCTCGAAAGAAGACCATAATATTTGCCGCTTTGTCCTTCCGTCCACACCCTTTCCTGTCCGGGACATAACAATGAAACTAAAAGAGATGTCAATAAGAGACTTTAAAGGTGATATATCTCATTGAGTAGAAGTACAGTACAACAAGAAGCAACTTCGCCTTAACTTTTTACATGACTCTGAAAGATATCAACAAGAAATTTTGTACGTAGATAGGTCTCCGTGAGTAGATGTGCAAAGCAAAAGAACCATAACTCTGCTTTTCCTTATTTTGGAGTCATTGTCCATAGTTCATTGTTACGTTTTGAACTTTGTCCGGGACATTTCTTAGAACTCACAAAGAGAATCAACAAGAAGCCTTGTTAGTAGAAAGATCTAAGAGAAAAAAATGCATCGCAAAAGAACCTTTACTCTGCCTTGCCTCATTTTTATGAGTTATTGCCCTTTTTTCATTTACACTGAGAAACTTGTCAAACAATATCTCTAAAAATACAAAAATATAGACAAGAGACTTTTCAAGTAGATATATCTATTTGGGTAAATTGTATTTCAAAAGAACCATAACCCTGTCTAACTTAATGTAGAGGAGTTGCTCTTTGTTCATTTTTACATTTTGTTCTCTGTACAGAACATAAATCCGAAACTATCAACAGAAAACGATGTAGATAGATAGATAGATCTCATTGAGTAAAAGTGTATTTCAAAAGAACCATAACCCTGTCTAACTTAATGTAGAGGAGTTGCTCTTTGTTCATTTTTACACTTTGTTCTCTGTACAGAACATAAATCCGAAACTGTCAACAGAAAACGATGTAGTTATATAGATAGATCTCATTCAGTAAAAGTGCATTGCAAAATAACCATAACCCTACCTTGCCTTATTTTGAAGTAATTTGCCCTTTCTTAATGTTTACACTTTCAACTGTATCCGAGATATATATCTAAACTACACTAGTTATCAACAAGAAACTTTGTATGAAATATATCTCATTACGTAGAAGTGCAATGCATAAAAACAGTAACTCTGCCTTGCCTTATATTAGAGTCTTTTATTAATTGTACACTGTGATCTTTATTTTGACATAACTCTGAAACTGCAAGAGCTATCAACAAGAAGTTGTTTCTGTGAGTCCAAAACCTGCTCAGGGAGTATCTTACGCTTCAATTGGCTTTTCTATTCTGACTAGTTTTAGCTTTGAAGAGAAAGTATGTTTTCGTGTTGAATTTTCAAAAGCTATGCAGGAATTTCGCCTTTCCTTGATTCACGGGAGAGGGAATCACTCGACTTTGTAAAGTATACAAACGAGCAATGGCAACTTTTGACCCTCGGTCATTATTTTTATGAATTTAGGTGAGAATGTTTCCTTAATCAAAACTAGACCTAGCCTATCATATGCACGGTTACTTTTTTAATTATGAATACAAAGTGCATTGTCCTATTTGTTATGGTTTTCGAGAACATTGTTTGAAATTATTTCAAAATTGCAAAAGAAGTTTTAGTAAATATCACCAGTTGGTTTAATTTTGTAAAAAGGCTTTCTTCTTTCATTGAAAACACAGTAACAAGCATAGTATTTATATCTCTTATTGTAAATGTCCATTTGAAATTTTGCTGAATGATATGCAGAGTAAAAAGCTGGTTTCGTATATTGGGAGTAATAATACAAAGGCGTTGTGTAGGTTCGATCTGTATTGACTTTCGATTCAATGTGTACAAAATCTCAACAGTAATATATCAACAATAACAACATACGTCAGAAGTGACGTTGACGTCAAATAGCGCGGTAA